GTCGTTACAGTTTATGTGTCCTTACGGTCACTGTTTTATTCAAATATGCTCTTAAACTGTGTGAAAGGAACAAAAATATCTTCCGATTGTAATTTGGTCCAAGAACGCTCTTGTCATCAATACTTTCGTTCAAAAATGTCCTTTTCATTAATACTTTGATCCAAAAATACCCTTATTGTTATTTAATGGGCAAAAAAGTGTATTTTCTAAATAAATATGTTATTGTTCTTTTTGACACATTTTTTAATTAATGTTTTTTAAAAAGATTAGCAAATTTTATCTTACCTTAATTTAGAAAAAAAAATAAAAAATAAAAATATTTTTTATTTTATCATTAATATTTTTTATCATTATATAAATATAAATTAACGATAGATATACTATAATCTTAGATATATGACATATATTATTTATCAAAAGGGTACATAAAATTATTCTATTTTAGTTGACAAAGTGAGATTAAGAAGAAAAAAATATTTCCTATGTTTTTATTTGTTTAAGTGACTTTAGAACGAAAGAAAACAAGAACAGTCTTCCTATATAATATTTTAATTAGGTAGAAAATGTTTTTTTAAATAAAAATAATATATTTATTAAGAAAAAGGGCCTTTTTGAACTATTTTATAATTATAGGAACATTTATGGACTAAAATTTTGATTGCAAAATATTTTTTAACCAAATTATAAACGAATGACATTTTTATTCTTTTTAGGTAATTTAAAAATATTTTTCGCCCTTTTTCCATTATTAAAAGATTGATAACATTTTATTTCGGAGAAAAGCTGCCACCATCTAGGCTCTAGCTACTGCCATCTTTAGCTTCTTATTAGTATTAAATTAGGTAAAGCCGAAGCTAAAATTATGAGTAGTTTGAGAATTTTAAATTTTAAAAATATATTACATCTCGAATTTATAACTTTTGTATAGAAAACATTTTCACAATCCCTTCATTCCCTTAAAAAAATTAATATAGATTTATGTTTATTTAATTTCTAGTACAAATATTACTGCAAAATCATTAAGGTCATTCGAATCTATTAACTCCACTTAACTCTATTTTTAACATTGGGTACCAAGATTAGTCACTATAGTTTGACATAAAAGTAAATGGAACGGATGAAATATAAGCCAGTGAGGTTATATTGGTGATCATATATGAATATTAAAAATCGACGATACTTATAATATACAAATAAAATTAAAAGGAAGGGGACAATTAAACTTTAGGTAAAACTTTAAGGATCTAATTTGCAAGCATATATTCCCTGTAAGGCCTCAACCAACAACCTTACTTTGTTCCATGACAATTTTTAAGCCGACATCCTTTCGATTTTGAAAAATAAAGAGTAATTTGCTAACTGACCAGAAAATTAAAAAATTATAATATTTTTTTATTTTAAAATAATTATTTCTTTTAGTTAAAAATATTAAAATTAAAAGATAAAAATATTTTAGAAAATATAATAACATAGAAAAAATATCACTTGTCAAATTTTTTAGTCAAATTTCTTTTTCCTTTAATTATTTAATTCTATACGAAAAATAAGTAGTTAGATCCCATTAAAAACAATGTTGAATTTGTTGTTGGTTCAAGTATAAGGGCTTAGCCTAACATTCAATGATCAACCAAATCCTATCCTATTGAATTCATGACCGAATGTAGCAACTTTTTTCCCAATAAAAAAATACAAATAATTGATAAGACTAGTACCAAAGTGAAGACAAAACATTCGTAACCAACTTAAAGATTAAAAGATACTTCAGTCTTGATTTATTTGAAATTTTTATATAATTTTTTTTATATAGCTTTTAGATATTTTAAATGGTCAATTATTCTAATTTATAATATTTTTTATGTAGTTTATAAATAAATATAAATTTTAAAATTTCACGCACATATTTTCAGACAAATATAAGTGCTACTTAACTCTCGAAAAAGAAGAATGTCATACAAATTGAGACTAGAAAGCATGTAATAATTCCAAAGACAAACTATACTTTTCTTCCTCAACTTTATTAGACAACAAAAAAGTTTCTAGTGAAAGCAGAATATCTTGCATGATTCGTCCTTCCGTATTGATCCCACCTAATTAAAATAACAGAAAAGTACTTAAAGATATATTCTCGAAGTATTGAAAATTGTATGAAATTATCCTTCATCCACCTATTCACTTCAAAATGCCCTTCTCATTCATTTAATGGCTTCAAAATGCTCTTGTCATCCACTATTGGGTTCAAATTGACCACTTATTTAACTATTTTAAAATTAAACTGTTTAAATATTTTTTTTGAAGTTTAAATTTTAAAAAATATTTAAATAGTTTAAGAACCGTTAAATAAGTGATCAATTTTGAACTCAAAAGTGGATAACAAGGGTATTTTGGAGCCAATAGCTGGGTGGAAACGATATTTTAGAGCCAATAGATAGATGAAGGATAATTTTGTATTATTTTCAATAATTCGAGAATATTTTAAGCCCTTTTCCGTTAAAATAATGACAATAACATAACAACAACAACAAAAAAAAAACTTATGTGGGATGGTAACGGCATGGAGCATGATTTTTGACTTTTAAATCTTCTTTTTTTTTATATGTTTTTGTTGATGTTTAATATATTTGGTATCTAATTTAAATTTGCGATAGAGGTAGAGTCCTTGAAAAAAGATGATTTTATATTTAAAGTTTAAATTTAAAAATTCTAATTAAAGATGAAGAAGTATATGTATGTGTATATATTACAACATCTAATGATACTTATAGACCTTGTATACAATTTGTGATCGTTCTTTTACATTTAATATATATATCTTTAACGACATTATTATAGTTTAAAAAAATCTTCATCACAAAGTTCTAATACGCACTTGGTCCATTTTTTAAAAATGGTTCTCTAATCTTTATAATTTCATCCAAAAAAGAGTAAAATTTTAAGAAGTCTTAGAAGGTATTATTGTTTCCTACATAATTTCTTTACCTAATACTAAATGATTGTAACAATTTTGTAAGTACCTTCTACAATTCTTATGGGTAAACTTGGGAAAAGATAAATATTACTCCTAATATAGTAGATAATATTCTTAATAGATTTTTCTTTTACTAGTTTGTTTTAGTAGATTATTTATAATCCTCTTTTAGTATTATCTTTATATTAAATAACTACAAATAATACTACATAAAACAAATATCTTTCCAGCAAATAAATAATTTCATAAAGAGCGTGTCATATTAACAAAACAAAATTTTGAAAAAGGAATTCATAAAATCAAATAAAAAGAAACAGACAAAGTAGTATCTTTCATGAGTAATAATAATAATTAATTTTTTATGTCCACTTAAAATAAAAAATTTCTTAAATTTTATGTCCACCTACTTTCATTTTTCAGAAGTCAAATTTGCCTATTGAAAAACAACAAAATTTGATGTATTAGGAGATGGTAAAGAAATACCGTGAAAAAACAATAATTAAAGCTCAAAGACAATGAAAGAAGTATTCAAAGAAAAGAATGGCTACTCATAAATATAGTAGAGTATAAGTAGCTACCTAGGTCCAAAATAAATAAATTAAATGAACATGTACAACTCTCTATTTTACCACATTAATTTCCATGGCAAAGGTGAAAATTAATAATTAATCATCATTTTTTTTAAAAATAACAACATCATTAAAGCAGTTATTAATAATATTATAGTCATTAAATTTACGAACTCTGAATCTATAAACTTAGAGAATGAATGTAAATGTTCCTGCTCTTAATTAAAAATTCAGTACATAGTCCGATCCATATTGTTGCATTTGACCAATGAATTTTGTTTCTTCATTCCAAAGGAAACATCCTTTATTAGAAAAACAAGTTACATAGGCTAGTTCATATTATTGACTTCAAAGTTGCAAATTGATTAATTATTAATTTAATTTCTACCCAGCCAGCCTAGCATCTAAAAAAATCTACTAGATACAATGAAGATCTTTAAGAACCTATTTCTTGCCTAATCAGTAATGAATCACATGCATACTGAATATGATTTTGTATCTAAAGTTTCTTTTTGTGTGTTAGATGCACAAGACTGTGTTAGTATTATTAATTTATATTGAGAATTGGGTCCTTAATAACATGATAAAAGATTCACTATATACCCTTCAGAGAGCTACTTTTTTATTTAGCAAGTACTGCCAGAAGAATTTTCAACAAATCTTTTTCTCAAGTTATTTAGAAATAAATATATGCAAGTGGAAAAAACTACAATTCCCTCTCGTGAAACCTTTTTTTTTCAAAATTCAATAAAATTATTGAAATATTTCTCCTCTTTTAACAACTCTGCTAAATTCCAACAATTCATTTAAACATGGGTTGCAAAAAGTACTCTACAAATTTTGTTTCAATAAAACATTTTCGCATTTCACCGGCAAAATAAACTGAATTTGTTTCACGAAGAATAACCTAGCTTGATTTGACACAAATTTTAAGAAAATAGAATAAATTTATGAATCTTTTGACCTTAAATTATAGCTATGTCAAATTTATAAAATCATCCTAATTTATGGTCTTAAATATGAACGTAAAAAGTTAAAAGCAAAATATTATAAAAAAAAAATCATTTTTTTCAAAATAGACTAAAAAAAAAGGATTCTTTTTTAAATGGAGGACATTAGAGAAGTAAATAATTATTTATCCCCACCATAATTTGTCTGTATCGATCTCGATTAACGACCTTCTTAGTAATTTAATTACACACAAAACACGTGTCTTCCTAATCAAACTAAGATACAACTAGCCTAAAAAGCAAACGAACTTTGGAATAGGAGTTCACAAAAATAAAAAATTATTTAATTTATTTATTTTTAAATAAACAAAAGATTTAAAAAATTCAATAAATGGAGAAGGAAAAAAAATCAAAACATAATTTGATCAATTAAATGATAAAAAGGTAAAACAATAATTAAAGTGAAACCAAAAACAAACAGAATGATGTGTATTTACAAGCAAAAGTACAAATTCCAAATCCATATACGCCGGCACAAGCAACGCCAGTATTTGTTAGTTAATCACTCAATAATTGCAATACAAAGACAAATCCAAAAATGAGTCATGCTATACCCATTTTTAATTTTTTTTTGGTATTTTATTACCTTATCACCATATAAAATAGCATTATCTTATCACCTAAAATCTTCTCATATATATATATACATAAGAAATTATATCTATGGAGCTGCCTAATTTTCTAATCAATAGTATTAATCAAAATTAGTAAATTATAAGTAACTTAAATGATAGTTAAGAAAAGTAAGAGATGAACTTTTTATTGAACAATGAAAGCTTAAGCTTAGACATCTATCTACATGGATTGCACCAACAATTTTTTTCCCCTAAGAATAATATGAAGTAATTTTGTTTTAATTTCTTCTTAATCATCTTTGTTCTCACCGTTCTCCTCAGCTTGGACTTTGCTACTATTGCAAGGATTATGTAAATTAGCAGTCGGTAATACCTTCCTTGACGACGTCGTATCAATAAACGTAGCAGAGCTCATCTCCATTTGACAAATCCTAACTGCCCCAAATAACTTTTCCGGCAACTCTTCCTCCGTCTGTGACTCAACCAGAAAACCCATATCGATCGTCACCGACGTTACCGAACCTAACGCCAAGTGCAAAATAGCGCTAGCAATCGCTGAGCTACCGATATCCACGTCGATTTCTAAGTAATTAGGGCCTCTATGATAGTAGCAATTCAACGCTTTACCGAGTATACAAGCTGAGTAATTCCCGACCGCGGCTTTCACGATCCACGGTCCTTTCACGATCCGGTTAACGATCTTAAATCTGCTGTTACGATACGCATCATCGCCGTTGACGAACCGATAGAGGAGAGAACCCGGTTCGAGCGGCTCATCGTCGTTTGTAGCGAAGTAGAAAACAGCGCTGTGTTGGTCACGCCCTGGGACTTGGAGATTCACGGCGACTATGAAGGTTTTCAGAGACTTTCCTTCAGAGTGAGATTTCTTCAGCGCGTTCATCACACGGTTGTCGTGTCGAGCCAGGACGTGGTCGAGCTTGGAGTTAGATCGGAGCCAATCCACTCCGGCAGGCTGTAGAAGCCACGCGCCAGAAGGTACTTTCGCCTTTTTCGTCAAGTAGTGTGGCCCTCGCAGATTGAATAGGTCTCCCGGTGGTGATGCCCAACCGTTTTTGCCCTTGTCCAAATCCACATGCTTAAGTGATCCGCCGGTTATGGATTCTTCCCTCCAGTCCCCACCACCGCCACCGTCACCGCCTGAGGCGGAGGTAGAGGTAGGCACGACGGAGCGCTGATTGTGGAGGTTCTGCTTCTGTTTTTGTTTAGTGGAACACATTTTCCGGTACCGCTACTTTTCCGTATTGCAATTGGAGTGTATGATAGTAGCAGCAATAGTAAAACTCCGATGAAAAAGGCAATTGAGTACCACTTTTGGGGTTTTTTTTTGGGTATATATTTGAGAGTAGCAGTATACAAATACCCTTCAGTTTCGTAGAAACTACGATAATGCCCCCTTTTCAATGCCACTGACAAATGACAGCTAATATTGTCAAAAATAAATAATGACAGACAAGCACTCTTTCGTTCATTTTCATATATTCGCTTGCATCTTTTTTGAAAAAGTAATATAAATAAGTTTATTTTTTTAGTATGAAAATAAATAAGTAAAATTTAAAAATATAAAATGGATTAAAATAATTGTTCAATTATTTTCATACTTAGAGTTAGAGCCAAGCTTTTTCCTATTTTTTGGAATATTAGTCAGAAATTCATATTTTATATAGTAATCCGATCATTTTTTGAAATATTAATTAGAGATTTATATTTTTTATAGTAGTTCAACCATAGAAAATTGGAAAACAAACTATATATCAAGTGAATCGACCGAGCCAAGAGATGGGACCATGAGCCACCGGTATGGGTTGATGCTTCATGGTGTGGTCAAGATATGTAGGGTGGATAGACTTAAAAGGGTGTTATTTGACACACTTGCATATTGAAATCTTAAAAGTAAATGTCAAAAGCTATTTTTCTTAGGAAGTATCTTATTTCATAAAATTGAAATAAAACTCTCCATGCTTTAAGATATGAAAATTGGAAGACATGTCTTGTGAGAACTTCCATAATTTGTGTGTTGATGATTCATTAGTTCTATTAACTTTTTTTATAATTATTTTTGGAAGTTATCCACAATTGTTATTATTTTTAAAAAAATAAAATGATTGTTCATGCTATAGAAATTTTTGCCAAACGCGCACACTCAATTAATATAAAAAAAAAATAAAATAACATTCAAACAAAATAAGCTAACACTACTTAACACAAAGATGTTCCAATCTGCTGGGTCGATTCAAAGCTTAAACAAGCAAAACATAGTTGAAGTATTTGAATGCGGAATAATTTTTGTTTTTATGAAAATTTTTTAAAAGTTTTTTGTTCGCTAAAATCGTAATCAAAAGGTTGAACAAGCATACATATTTGATCAACCAAAAAAAAGTTTCTATAGCAATAATTAAATGTTTGGGGCTTGGGAATAATACTATTTGCGTTATGTTTTTTCACTTGGCTATTTACTAATCTAACATTTAAAATTAAATATAAGAAATATAACAACTTACTACACAAAATAAGCAATTCTTTTCTAGCTAATTGTGTGGTTTAAAAACCTTCAACTTCATATATTGATAGCCCTCAACATCAATTCCAACAACTCCTGTTGTGCCAGTTATTTTTTGGCAGATTATTAGCCAGAATTGCATCATACACAGCCCAATACATTAGCCTACGTCAAGATATCATCAGTTGGGATAATTTCCTGCCTTTTTATTTATGATACATTTGGTAGTTTAGAAATAACATATCCCTCTTTTACTCGGATTATCTAGCTGGTCAACAATCTGGAAAGGGTAAAAGCTTTAAGAGATAAGAGGGAAATAATAGATTAGTTCATGTTTAACTCTTAAGTATGGATAAAATTAGCGAAGGAAGAGATATAACATAAGCAAGTAAATAGGTCAATAATTTCAATTACAGTGTACCTGCTTTTAAATTAATAGTAATATTGTCTCAATTGTCTCTACTTTTGAAAATGTTAGTAACTTTTTAAGTGGCCAAATACATATGCAGCTCCCGAATGTTATTCGCGCTTTCCCCCAGGTACCTCAACTAACCCAGATTCCTATTGAATCCTTTAACCCCCTATAATTTAATTTTTTTAAATATTCTTGGCTGATGTGGAGCCAAACGTGATCTCACGTTCTTTAAGCGTGTGCAGAAGCTTTAAAAGCACTGATGTGGATCTTGAATCACCCATCAACGATCTTCTTCCCCCTTTTAACCCTAATTTCTCCCATTCTTCCCTTATTTCTCCTCTTTTGTTTGTCTTCATCATTATTTCTCCTCTTTAGCTCATTATATTATATCTCTTTTTCATTAATTTCTTCTTAATCATCAAGTTCCAATGTCGAGTTTATCTTCTTCAACTGCGAAGGTACTATGTCAATGTGGGAATGTTGAGGAAATGAAGACCTCATGGACGCAATCCAATCTTGGACGTAGGTTCCTTTGTTGCAAAACTTCAAAGATAAATAAATTTTTTTTTTGTCCAATATAGTAAAGAATCACCTTATTTATAATTCAATTTTTTTCTTTAATTTTGTAGGCACGAGGTGGATATGGATATTTTTGATGGTATGATGACAAAATGTCTGCTCAAGCTAGGAGGGTGATATGTGGTTTGTTGAAAAGAGTCAAAACATATGAATTGTAGAGGAATCGATCAACAAAAGTATGAATGATATGCATTATCATAGGGGTGATATTGACTACTTGGATTTGTGTAACAAAATGATCTTAGTTGGTTCATTTGTCTTCTACTAGATTCCTTCATAAAAGTATGTATGCTAGATTGTAGTGTTCTTTATGGGCAATTTTGATTGGTTTTTCTATTGTAAATGTCTTGTGTTTTTATTGCAATGATTAATTAAAGGAACGAAGATAATTTGTGCCTCAAAAGCAGTAAAAATTGATCATTCATGCCATTAATTTGCTCTAGTGAGCTCCAAGTTTCAAAGTAGTCAATACAAATTTCTGCTACTAATTACACAACCAAAAAGTGACTTTTCTACATAAATTAGGTATTATTTGGTACACTAGATGTTTCACGCTTGTTTTTCCTTAACTGAGTGATTCGTTGCAACTGTGAACCAGTGATAACATCTCCACCATTCCACTTGAGTTCTCAAGGCTTATAACCAAATCAATATTTGTTGGAGATGCATTCTTATAAACTCTCGGATTGATAGCTTTTTCTCCTGAAGTACTAGGCTGTATAGAAATGTCTTAAAATGAGACTTTATATAGTAGAGTAAGAAATGAACAAAATTATATATACACTTACATTAAAGGATTGACTACCACTTGCATTTGTAAAAATGTCAAATCCTTTAGTCTTGGTCCTTTTTTGTCTTCCTGTTGATATTGAAGCTTTCACAACCCTTGGTTGGTCAGGTTGCTGACTTGATACACCGTCAATGTCCAGTGCCTCTTCCAATTTTTCTGCTAGTGCCAATACCTCTCCTAGTGCCTCTACCAATGCCTCTACCAGTTCCTCTGTCAGTACCTCTCCCAGTGCCTCTATCAGTGTCTCTGCCTCTGCATGTGTCTCTGCTATTAGCAGGTTGTTGCTCTCTTCTAACAGCTGAAGAATCAAAACACATAGAACTACCGTGATGATTGCATACTGGTGGCGGACTTGAGCTTGATGGTCTACTAAAAAGTGGTGGCTGGCTTGAGCTTGATGGTTGGCTAAACAATGGTGGTGGCTGCCATAGGAGAGATATCTGAGATCCAAGTTTCAGCAAATTTCCTCATTACAATATTTTTGTCTATTATCTTGTGCCTAATATCCTTTAACATAGTTATGATAGCTTTATGTCTAGCAACTAGTATCCAAGAATCAAAAGTTTCACACATATTGTTTTCAACAATGTCACACTTAGAATGCTCTTTAAAATATGTTTTGCACCAAGTAGTTTTTTCATAATGCAACAAGTCCTCACAAATTTTATTACCTAATTTGTTGAGTTTATTCATCTCATCTTCAAATTTCACTTCAAAACTTGACTTAACACATCTCCAGAACTATTTCCTTCTTTCTTCACCACTCCATAACTGATGTCAGTTGAACCTGATATGTATAGCACACCTTCTCTGCTCACTATCTAGCAACAACTCACATAAAGGTGGTACAAGACCCTATGTAAACAGTTGTAGCACAAATATTGAAAAGTATTAGCAACACAAGAACATAAAAAATAAAAGAACAACATACAATACAAAAACCATCTAAGCTTCTGCATACCTGACATAACAGTCAGTCCATGTCCTGTGCCTAATTTCAGATCTTCTATCAAGTACTTAAGAAAAAAAACTCCAACTATGTTTTGTCTCTGTGTCAACAACAACCCATGCAATTGAAAACATCTGTTGATTTCCATTTCTACCAACAGAAACCAACAATTCTCCCTTGCAAGAACTCTTCAGAAAACATCCATCAAAATCAATAATTTTTCTGCATCCTTCCAACCAACCCCTCTTAAATGCATCAAAGTAAACATAGAAGTAAATAAACAAAGTTTTTCCTGGCTGAGACTCCCTATTTGTCCTCACTCAACTGGAAGTACCAGGATTAGTATGTTTAATCATGTTTGCATAATCACACAATCTTGAAAATTCCATCTTCCAATTACGTAAGAACTCCTAGATAATCCTCTTTTTTACCCTATGACAAACAATTCTTTCAATATACAACCCAAATTTTTTTCTCACCAAATCTTGAATTTTCCATAATCTTATATATGGTTGACAGGTAATTTCATCCTTGAACTTTTCTGCAACAAACTTCTGTACACAACTTGTTCTTGATTGATTGAGGACATACATGTACAGAATAATAATTTTTTACAACAAAATCATCAGAATATCTATTAGTGCAAACAACAATCATTTACATTTCTTGTCCTCACATTTAACTCTAACTCTTTTTTTTTATCATTAGGCTTCAAATTTTAACCTAATTTTATATTCACAAGAATAGTTTGCAACAATTTTTCTAAATTGTTCAGCACTTTAAATACCATAGTAAGCTAAAAAATTCCTACAACACAATCAGGATCAAATCTTAAATTTTTAGTTTTTATTTTTCTTGGTAAATCAACACCCTTCACAAATTCTGGATTCAATTCATCCCTACTGTCTTCACTGTCCAATTCTGAGCTATCTATATATTGCTCATCACCCCCTAGTCTTCCAGTGTATCTAGTAGCCTTATTCGTTCCCATGTCTTCAAAGCCTCTATCAATACCAGCTGTTCCAAGCTTTATTTCCTCAGTTTGAGTAGGTTTTTTATTTTTCACTTTGTTTCTCCTTTCATTTCTGAGAGATTTTAATTCTTCTTCAACCTCAGAGTCATCCACATCAGGAATAACATCCTCTTGAGAGTCGTCATTACTTTCTTCATTTGATTCAGTCCATTTCACATCTAGATTTAATATATCCCCTGTCTCAACTTTCACATTAATATTTTCAGATTCACCCTCATGATTCAACCCTTCACTTGCAGTCACATTTATATTTTCTAAGTCTTCTTCAATGACAGACCCACAAAGCAAACCCGTTGTGACCACTTCTACATCATCCATCACATACTTCACATAAAGGTCTAAAAAGTCACGATCTTTTAGGTTTTGATGAGATTTACTAAAGTGAAATCGGTGTCCACCTCAATAAAGTCATTTTTGTGGGGTCTTTAACACAGAATCCACCAACAATAATATACCCCAATTGTTTAGTGTAAAAAAGTAACTCGATTATTGAGAAGTGGTCCTTGTCAATATTAACATATTCCACATCGGCTTTCCCTTTATAAGTAATTCCAATTTTATCCTGAATAAACTTACCACCATGATGAAAACGACTTATAATAACGGCGTTCATAAGATCCCCTGAAACAAGGCCCCAAAATTTTTCTGACACGTTATAAACAGTTAAAACAAAAAACCCTAAATTTATCCAGATATTAACAACAGCAACCACATTGATACTAAAACCCAATATATATCAATAAAAGACACAGGCTGAACATATATATTAAAAACACACAACCACTACAACAATAAAAATTACATAGAAATTAGGGAATGAACTTACCTCACACTCGTCAACTCGAAAATCGCGAGTGAACTCCAAAATCATCTGCAATCTTTAATGATTCATCCAGCAAAACACTCGAAATCACTTTAAAATCTAAGAATTTCAGCTGTAAAAGTCATTGAAAGGGAGAGATTCTTAGGATTTTCTCGTTTAGAAGCGGATTAGAAGTGTTTTGGGGGGAAATTGATTTTTAGGTTTGATGATTTAATATGTGGCACTAACGTGTTATTGGGTTGGAGTGTATTGGTCGAAATTTCCACGTAGAGAAGGTTCATCTCGCGCGCCCAATTTCCAAAAATAATTTGTTGAAATTTGGCTCCACATCAGCCCAGAATATTTGAAAGGATCAAACTATAGGGGATTAAATGATTCAATAGAAATTTGGGTTAGTTGAGGTACCTAGGAAAAAAACGCAAACAACTTTAGGGACCTGCATATGTAGTATCCCTTTTTAAGTCCTTCAACAAATCTCAAAGCTCAATTTTAAGTCCTTCAACAAATCTCAAAGCTCAATTTTAAACGCAGTTGAGAAACACCTATCTTAGGCTGTAAAATTTGATCTAATTGCTAGTTAGGACAATAATAACTATAGGAGGATTACCAACTAACTACGAACAAATGTAAATTTTGACGGAGTATTTGTGACAAACAAATCACTAATTCTCGACGGATTTATAACAATTTTACGATATAATTCATAAGTGGAAAATTTTTGTTAAGGACTAAATGATCCGTCACAATTCAATTCAGTTACAAATTAAATAATTGACATAAATAATGGTTGGTCAATGGTCACAATTCTGTTACAAATTTATAACAAAAATAAGAATCCATCACAATTTCATTATAAATTTATGACAAACTTGTGGTTTTCGTCATAAAATTGTTAGGAAAATAAGGTTAATGTCACAATTTTTAACGCAAAATTTAATAAAAATACCGATGACATTAATATTATTGTACTGGTTTGAATGTTCCTTGGAATTTCATTACTTGATAATTAAACCCGAAAATTTGGGAGTATTTTTTAGATTAATTGATATTGAGGTAACTTTTTAAGTAATTATACAATCTAATAATTACATATAATGACCTTTTTATTTTTCATAATGTAATTATAGTGTAACTACAAATCTATTGTTAATTAATGTAATAACATAATTAAGGTAAAGTTTAAAATAAAAGTTAATCATCAAATAAGCTAATGTTTAATAAATATGTATCTTTACAAATAATATCAAATTAGATATTTAACATATTGTTTCTTAAAATTATATTTAATAATAAATATAAGTTCATAACTTTGAATTTTGCACAGTTAATATGGCTATATTTCCATTTACCACAGCAATAATATTATAGTTGATATTTAGTTTTAGGTCTTAAAAAATAATGTAAAAAAATAAGTACTAAATCTTGAGGATAAAATATGAAAGACATGTAAAATGCACTTCCAATAAATAAAAGTGAAAATGTATTCTCAGTATTAGTGAACAGTTCTTTTCTAAACAGGATAATGAAAAGTAAAATGGAAAATGAATCTCTCACAAATAAAATTTAACTAATTAATTCACTAAACAGATTTTCTATATAATATATATTGAACAAATTAATTTTCTTTTATAGCGATAGTGTATCATACACATTTTTTTCACCTTCCACCCTCACATCTATTCCACATCAGGTTAAAACACTCTCATTTTTTTTCTACTTCTCCAGTCAATTTTTTTATTTCAATAATTATTTTTTTAAATAAAAAACGAATTATTTTCTAGACTTTATCAAATTATTTATAACGAAACTAATTATTTTTCTAAAAAAATTTAAAATTTTAAAGGTACCATCAATTACTCCTTATCATATACTTCAAAAATAGAAATGATAATTTCAAAAGAATCAATGAATTCTCCGAAAATCAAAAGAATTAGTTGAAATCAAAGAAAAAAACTATATAATACTTTATAATCATCTTGTAATTTAGTGGGTTTATCAATTGTTCGAAATGTAAGAAGATATTTAGATAAAAATTTAATAATAGTAAAAAAAAAATTATGATAAAAATGAAATTAAAAGTGAACAACTTAGATGGAGATGATAATAAAATTTTAAAGAAGAAAGAGAAAAAGAAAAAAAGAAAAAAAGTTACAACGAAAAAAATATAAAAATATATAATTTTAATAAAATACTTGAAAAAATTAAACTTGTACACAAATTATTTTGAATTGTTCACTCTCTTTAAAAGCACACACACTTTCTCTATGTCAGTAAGAAATAACATAATAGTATCAATTGAAAAAGGAAAAGGATAAAAGATGTTCTTAAATTATTGAAAATGATTCAAAATGTCCTTCGTTCATCTATCGGATAAAAAATGTCTTTTCATTTACCTATTTGGATAAAAAATACCCTTAGAATTAAATTTAAACCTAATATTACTTTTATCTTAAATAGAAGTTGATGTGACAAATATATATTTTTAGTTAAATATGTGGCATTATTTTATGTATAAATTATAGGAACCACATATTATAAATACAAAATGACCATTTATCCCTTTAAGAATTGAAATTACTAAAAATCCCTTAAAAAGCAAAGAATCGGGATACATCAGTCTGGCACGGGATACATAAGAATTGATACATCAAAGTTAAAGGCTGCTGCGATTAATTAGGGTTAATTAACGTGATTTCTGTTATTCTTAACTGAAATCACGTAATTAATGGTCATCAGATTGTGTAACGGATTAGTAGGGATACATCACTCTGGCAAGGGATACATCACTCTGGCACAGGATACATATTAACTGATACATCATAATTAAAAGGCTGTTGCGATTAATTAGGATTAATTAACGTGATTCCTGTTATTCTTAACTGAAATCACGTAATTAATGGTCATCAGATTGTGTAACTGATTAGTAAATTCAAATTTTAAATCAGATTAGCTTCATAATTCAAAAATATTCTTGTAAAGGTTGATCTGCATACTAAGAATTCAAAAAAAAAAGGTTTTGAAGATGAATATCTCAATTCTGCTGCGGCATTCTGGAATTTGGGTAAGCAATATTAATTATGAAGGTTACAAAGTTGATGGAATTGTTGTTAGCCATTCTATTTCGTTTGTGAATCTGAAAACGTTGATTTTAGCAGAGCTTGAGATCGACAATGTTACAAAGGATATTGAAATACGATACATTGTCGAGGGAAGCTCATGTCCGTTGAAAATAAAAAACGACATGGGTGTGAAACTTTATTTCGAAGTGAAAAAGAATGCAACTAGAATTGGCATGTATCCGCTTTGTATTGATACAACTGATAAAATTGTTAGGGATATACGTAATTTTGATTGTTCATCAGGTGAAGTCATATGCGTGGAAGGTACCGAAAGAGATACTGAAGCTCTTGCTCTGGTCGAGTCTAGAATTTGTGACTTTGCAGTTTAATTATGTGCCAAATTTAAACTCCAAATTTTATAAATAAATAGATTCAACAGTGGTGCGTTTTCAATGTAACAGTAATGATATAGGAGTTTGTTTGTGTATGTGATGTATCATATACATGAATATTATTGAAAAGATGTTATGTGTTCCGTGTATATTGTATTTTGAGATATTCAAGTGTACAAAAAATTGATTTGTTCAATTGTTTACTATATGATTCGTATATACATACTTATGAGTTATAAGTTTGATATATTATATTCAACAGTGTTTGGGTTTCAGTTTTACAGTAATTCAAGCTGGGCTTATTTGTAACCAGTTATGTATCAGATACATTCATTTTAGTGAAAAATATGTTATATTTTTCGTGTATACTCCATCATGAGTTATTCTAGTGTCCTAAAACTTGACTTGTTCAAATGTGTACGACATGTTTAGTGTGTACAGCCTTATGAACTGTAATTTTGATATAGTACATTCTAGTGGTGCGTTATACTGTAATAGTAATCAGGGTTAAGTTTGTTTATGTATATGATGTATCATATACATTCATATAATTCAAGTTGCTAAAAATATAACTGCAATATTTTTTCAAGTATATATTATACTTATGTATCATATACATCATTTGTATAAAGTGAAAAAAACTTAATAATGTATCATACACATTAGAACTTAAGTGTAATATACTTCAGTTTGTAAATTAGCTGTCAAAATAACTTAAAATGAAACACTAAAAAATTTGTAAAGCAACAACTGTTTCTAAAAAAATAACTTGAAAAAATATAACATTCATAACTAATAAAATATTGTAATACCAATAAGCTTTTAGAAAAACACAAAAGATAATTGTCTTCAACACAAAACAACATATAAACTTGTTCATCCTGTCCCAGCTACGTATAATAAGTTACACAGTTGATGTAACTTTTCTTGGCCTTTTTTTCTTGATTTCTTCAGTCTTCTTCTTTGGCTCATCATTGTTGTTCTTCATCAACAATGGGTCATGCAATCGCTTAGATCTATTCTCAGCCCACAGCTCATCATCAGAATCATACACACATTTGAAATTACCACACTCTTCCATGATATTTGTAAACTCACACGATGAATTGAATGAATGAGAAAATCTAGTTAGATGGAAAGATAGTCCTACAAAATAACAAATAGATATGGATGAAAATTTGAAGGGAATTCAAAATTTACCTGCAAGTGGAATGGGGAATTAAAAGTAGAAAAGGAATAAAAATTAGTAAACTCACACGATGAATAAGCTGAAGGAGAAAATTTGGTAGATGGAAAGAGAGTCCTAGAATATCAAATAGATATGGATGAAATTTTAACTGGAATTCAAAATTAACCTGCAAACGTGTGGAATGGGGAATTAAAAGTACACAATTATACACCTACAATGTAGGGAAATAAAAAGGAAAAGGAATAAAAATTAATATGGTAAATTTTAATTGGGGATGTTAATGGGGAAGTGGGTAGCTTAAAAATAGGATTTAATTTTTGGTAAAGTAAAACTTGCCAATTGGGTGAAAAAAAGGTGGAAAATCTTGATGTATCTTTTATATTTTTTTGAATTGGGGGAATAAGGGATTTTTGAAATTTTTAAAATAAGTTGGGATAAATGGTTATTAAGATAATTAAAGTAGTGTATTTAAGTAATTTTTCTTTATTTTATTGATCCACACATATTAGATCCACTTTAATTCATAATCATACACATTAAAAATCCTAACCCAAATCCAAACCCATATCTCCCACTTTTTTCATCTTTCATCTAAAAAAAATTATTTGGAATACTAATAAAATGGCCTAAGTCATCTCCAGCAACTCAAAGTTGTTCGCATAATTCATTTAGACACCTCAACTAATCCTTGTGCCAATTGAACACTTTATTTGTTCAAAAGTCATTCCTATTAGATACAAAATGCTCACATGGCAAAAAACGTGTAATTCACTTTCCCTGAGCGCGTTAATTTATTAAAAATAATATATTTTTTTTCTCTTAATTTATACCCCTAAGTTAATTTTTTAAAAAAAAATTAACAAAAAAGAAGAAGAACAGTTGTGTTCTTCTTCCCTATTTCTATCAACCCCACCACCCCACCCCAACCCCCATACTCATACACCAGTGGTTATCTTCTTCCGCCATCATTCTAATGATTTCAAAATTCTTAGTATCAGTGGTTATCCTCTTCCCCCACCGTTCTAATGGTTTCAAAATTCTTAGCATTTTGTTTCATTTATAAATTTTTCAAAGAGATTCTTTTCCCCATCTTTCTCTACCTAAAAAACGAGATGAAGTAAAAAGTTATAATTAATAAAAGCTGATGAAAAAAAATTTATCGGGTTAAAGATGGAACTGTACAGGGAAGGGGGGGGGGGTCGCCATTAATGGAGTTAGAGGAAATGTATGTTTTGTTCAGTTGAAGGCAGAGAGTTGTTTAGGTTTTACTGTTTTTTTTCTTTTTTTTTTTACTTTAAAATAATTTTTATCTTTTTTACTTTATAATATAATGTTTAAATAATTTTTTGGATTAAAAAATAACACATGTCATTATTTGATTGGTCAAATTGACATGTCAGCACGAGTGTATTTCACACATTCTCTATTTTTTGTTTATTCTCGAAAAAATGTTCAAATGGTTCAAATTCAGTATGGTTGAAGTGTTCAATTGGTAGTACGTCTAGTTGAAGTGTCTAAATGAATAATCGGAACAAGTTTGAGTGGCCGCATATGACTTTGGCCTAATAATATCAAAACATTCAATAAAAGAACATGATTCAAATTCTTTCATGAGCTAATTGGAGATTGAACTCCTCCTCAACTGTTAGATGCTCCATTTTTTTTTTGAAATGTGATAAAAATGACTTGATTTGATGAGTGTCTTGCTTCCATGGAAGATTGAATGTATAATTTTTTTTAATTCTATTTCAGCAAATTCACTTATTCTTTTGATACATTTTGAGATACAAATTAAATTGCACTTATCTTTACTATCACAAAATTAGTAGGTCAATTAAAAAAAAAATCGAGAGAATGATGATATATAGAATGTTTTATAATCTTTTTTCAAAAATTTGAATTTTTCGAAAGAATTTGATAGTATTTTGTTAATCCTTCAAATAATTTTATGGAAGAAAGATGAAGATGAAGAAAGAAAGAGTAGGGTCTTTTACGAATGAGTTTGGATTGATCGATATGATTGAGAACGAAATTGATCTAATTACATGTGGATCAATAATCATAATGCTAACACATGAAATTTTAAAAATTATTTTTGCCACATCAGCTTCTGTTAAAGGAAAAGGTATTTTAGGTTGAAATTTAACTCTATCGACATTTTTGATCCAAATAGGTAGATGGAAGAACATTTTTAATTCAATAGATGGAAGAAGGCATTTTTGAGCTATTTTTAATGCCTTAAGGATATTTTCAATTCTTTTTTCAATTTAAAATTATATAGTAAATAAATAAAACGTCCCATAATCATATTTTTTTTAATGAAAATTCCGAATAAATTCAACATGTCACTTTATATTTTTTTCCCTCTTTATTTTACCAGAGAGAGAGAGAGTGAATGAAAAGAAGAAATTGGAGCCAGTGGTCAAACATTTCCTTTTAATTGATGACAACAATTATACGTGGCATGTACTTATTTATATAAAACTTACTTACCTTCAAATCTAATACTAACAATAATATCTCTCACTCATCTTCTAAATATATAAATTTTTCTCTCAAGCACGAGATCTTTTATTAGTGCATCACCATAATTTAAATATTATTTTTAACATCTTATAGGATTTAATGCGGGAAAACTTTTTTGAAGAATTTTTTTGAGAGAAAATATTTAGATAAATTATTGGCTATGTGTTATAAATTTTAAAATATGATATAATTAAAAGCTTTCAATTATCTTTAACGTCGCAAAATTAATTATTGGATCAAAAAGATTAATTTGGGATTCAAACCTAAGTAGCAACTAGTTCAAAAGAAGAAAAAAAGTTATATTTTTGTGAAAGTCTGATCCTTATAATCTCCCTTTTACTAGTGTTTGTATTTTCTCATTTTCCTTCTTTGATCTGTCAATCAATAATTTTACTTTTGATAGTTCTATATGATTGTTTTGGCGTTTTTACCTTTTTAGTTGAAATTTTAGTACGTTATTAAATTTAAGTTATTTACACAACACTTTTTCCTTTCATAATATTATTATTTGTATCATATCAACAATATTTTAAATATCTAACAAAATCTTCAATTTACAATCGCTTATCTACTAAATATTGATTTATTTGATACTAACATCTCTCTTGATGATTCTATGTATCTTAATTTTTTAAAGTAAGATCTATTAAATCATCAACTTGAAAAATAGGTGAAAATTGAAAAAAAAATATAATAACAATATTAGTATTTTTATTCTGGGGGAATTATTAACTGTTTTCCCTAATAACTATACGAGGATCAATGTAAATTTAGTTCTTTTCAATAATTTTCTTTTATAGGTAGTTGTAAACTTCCATTTTCTATTAGAGCTCCAATATTGAAATTAAAGTATTGTCTAATAAAAAAAATAAAAAATATTCTAATACAAAATAGCCTCAGGTCAGCACGAAAAGACATGTTATTAATGCACACATTTGTCTTTTTGACGTTAACATTTTGAGCCTTTACATAGTTCCTCCGTCTTACATTAATTATTTATATATAAAAATAATTTATTTAAATTATAATGTTATGATAAAATTATTTTTTTATTATTTTATGTTTATAATTCATTATTATTTTAAAGTGTAAATAAAATTGTATCGTATAAAAATCAAACGATAAATTAGTAAGAACATTTTTAAATTTATAATTTCTTATAAATATTTATAAAGAAGAAAAAGTAAATAACTAATTAAGCAATAAAATTAATTAGGATAAAGTTGTAATTTGATGGAATAATAGGGGCGAAGAAAGAAGTGGTGGACGGACGGGAAGCAGCGAGAGTGAGTGGCTGGTGACGTAGTAGTAGTTAGCGTAAATGTAATTAATGGGACACGTGGCTAATGGATAATGACCCCTCATAGGATATCAAATAACTCACTATCTCAATTTACGTCAATTATTTTTTTTAAATAATTTAAATTTAATTGAGAACGTAACTATACAAGTCAATCAATAAAATAAAACGAAATTAAGGGATATTTTTTATTTTTCCCTAAAAGGTACTACAAACATGTTAAACCCATGTTTACTTGCCCTAAACCCCCATCACCTATCCCTACATTATCACCCATTCTATTATCAAAAGTTGGTGAGTTTATCACATTATATATTTTAAAAAAATTTATTCCTACTTTCAATATGTTATTCACACGGATAATTTGGGATCGATTCCTCCTTAATGTCTTCTGAGTCTAACCTGATGTATGTATAAGGCTTGTCTAGTGCAGTTTATATTTTTTGTGTGATTTGCAAGCTATTATATAGTGTGGGGGAGGATGGGGAATTTATTTAGTGCGCACAAAATGCTTACTCGAAAAGTACAAGCTATAACAGAGATCATAGCGACTCCTAAATTCCCAAAAAAGAAAAAAGAAATACTTATTTCCCTTAAAAATATATATTCTATCCTCTATATTAAAGACATAACTATTGATGCTTTATTTTCAAATTTTTAATTAAAAATATTTTTAAAGTAGTCAAACTTAGATTACATTTTTGTGCTATAATAGTGAATAAAAAACATTCCTACTTATCTATGTCAAAATTGTAATATTCATCCTTCCGTTAGTTTTTTTTTTTTTTTTTAAAAAAATCAAAAGACCGATCATATATGTATGTATAAACATGTGACTTTTTCTGGAAATTTCTCTATTTTATCTTTTTTTCAATACATTTTAACCTATCCAGCACCTTCCCCTGACTGCACTAAAACACAAATAAACATCAAATGTCACTTCCCTTCATTGTTTTTCTTCATCTTTTATTTTATTTTTTTAAAGTCATTTGTTTCTTTTAGTTTTGGGAGTTGAAGGAATTAAAAAAAAATGAAAAATATTTCATGCTTATTAACTTATTATGATCAAACACTAATTTAAAATAAAATAGATAGATTTATAATTTTCATAATCATTTATTAAATAAAATGAAAAATTATTCCAGAAAACATAGATTTTCTTTATGAACAAACAAACACTTAATTATTATGTTGTAATCATAAATCCTCCTACCTCTAGAATTTAATTATGGTGTAGAAGAATTTTAGTAGATAATAATACCCTCAACTATTTTTAAGGAGTAACTTTCAGCTATAGAAAATATAAAAGTTATATTTTCATGTTATAACTATAGTTTGTATAATTGCGCTTCATAACAAATATAAATATATATATTTCGCCATACATATATCAAAAAAAGAAGTAATTGTTTTATCTGCTTTGGTATACGTATAAAAAAGATCAATTGTATAATATGTGTTTGTATAAAATAAGAAAAAGAGAAAGACAAAAGAAAATTGGACAGATGTATTTATATAAGCATAAGTGTATACGAAAATATTATACGCATTTATATGTGTATATATAATTTTCTCTCGCTTTATACAAATAAAAACACAATGTGTACATTAGTTTTTGTTTAAAGTGAGAGAGCGAGATCTGGGAGAGTAGCGAGCGAAATCTGGAAGAGAGGAGAGAGGAAAATGAAAATATATACATATATACAATTTTCTCTCGCTTTATACAAACATAAAACATTTTATACGTTTGCCCTTTTGTATAAAGTGAGAGAAGCGAGTCAGCGAGCGAGATCTGACAGAGTAGCGAGTGAGATATGAGAGAGGGGAGAGAAGGGAAGAAAATATATATACGATTTTCTCTTGCTTTATACAAACATAAACACAATTTATACATTTGCGTTTGTATAAAAAACGAGAGAGGCAAGGGAGAGAACGCGACCGAAATTCACCTGGAGAGAGGCGAAATAGCAATATGTTTACTATGGGTACATTTAATCAAACTAAATTTATCATTTAATTTAAACTAATAGTTTTGCTATTACATACAATTTTTTCTTTTTTAAAAAATACTCCAACTTAATAAGCACCGTCTACAATAGGATATATTTTGATAAATTTTATGCATATTTATATTATTATACTTTAATGTAAGGGTAGGTAAGCTTAATTTCATGTTTTTAATAAAAAGGGTAGGTTAGCTTAGCCTTCATATACAAATATACATGTTGTTGGTGTCTCCTTTAGGTATTTTGCAGAATAGAATCCAACTTCTTTCTCAAAAAACAAGGGTAAAGAAAAAGGAAAACGCGAGAGAGGATTACATAGAGGAAAATTGAACTTCTTGTTAAAAGAAAAATTCAAATAATCAATCAACTGAGCTACTAAAATTTTCGAAGAAAATCTAACAACGTGGGCCATGGATACTACAGATTGCTTGTGCACCATCCAATTAGTCTATTGTGAAACTTACAGAAGTGTCTTTGAAGTCTGAAGATATTCATGTACTAACTTAAAGTAACCTGTGACAACTTCATAACTTTGTTAATCATTATGTTCACTTTAAACTAGCCTCTTTCTTCTTTTACTTCGTACTGTTTTTTTTTGGCGTGTCAGCATCTGTTGTACAGTTGATTCTCCATGATCGGTAGCATGGCTTTTTAAATTCTTACTAATATTTTATTCATTTAATTGAAAAAAAAGGGTATCGTATAGTCGTATAAAAAATATTCATGGACAATATATATTAAATATCAAAGATTTTAAACATAAAAATTTATGTTATACAGCAATAAATATCACTGCAAAATAACATGAAAAAAAACGAATCTATTACAGACTTGTATTCAATACAAGATTGTCAATATTTTTTTGAAATTTATATACGAACAACAATATCTCCTATAGAAAAAGTCGTTCTTACGCCTCAAACCTTTTTTGTTATTGTCAATCCAAAGACTCCCCCACATGTCTTCACTTGATCATATCACATTATTTTTTTCCTAAATCTATCATACATAGTGTGCCTCTATAAAATTCTTTTTTATTTCGATACGTGAGCAACTAAACCGAAGTTTTGAATAGCAAATAGTAGAATTTTGTTGCAATATATTTTCTTGAAGTTAGAATTCATTGACTGTGTATGCACTGGCTCAGAAGTAGATGATGCCAATTGTCAAAGTGTAGTTCACGGGTTCACTCCTTTCCTTTTCTTTGGAACTAGCAACACTCTATGCATTCTCCATTGCATAAATCATGTAAAAGAATTTTGAGCTTCTAAATTTATAGGTACAAACACAACGGTTGAAGTTAATAATGGAGGTACACCAGCACAACTATTTAACATCCTTCACTTGATTTTGTATAGAACCAAGACCATTCTCACTAGAAATAGAAAGGTTCCAAATCGGATGTTGTGGTTAAATTATTTTTCATAAGAGATAGTACTCCAAATATGTCAATTATTTTTAATAATTCCTTCATTTTTCATGTTACTTTTTCTACAAATAGTATTCACTATCTATTAGAAAACAATAACTTATAATATTATTTTTAAAAATGAAGCCCCTTAAAAAAGGCACATATCTTTTTTTTTTTGAACTGCCAAGCCACCCCTGAATTAGTAATGTTCATCAACAAAAACTTAATATAAACAAGACAGGTAAAAATGTTAAGAAGAGTTCTATCACTATGCTTATAATTAAGCTATAAACTATAACCAACTCCAAATGGAGACTCAGAAACTCAGCGGCATTTCACAGAAACCTTGGCGGAACTCTGCCACGTTGAATAGTTTTTGATACTATTAAAGTATTGGTAAAATGGAAGCGACCTTTGTAGATTGTCAACAACACTTTGAAGACCATTCTCTTTTTTGGAGCGTATGCTGTATTTTCCCTTCTTGATCCCTGTCTAATGTTCTGCCAGACAAATTGATATTCGTATAATGGGACGCAGAGTGCTTGAACCTACTTCTGACGGCATAATATATGCAAGTTTCTCTAGGATCCTGAAATTAATGATCATTCCCTACTCAAACACGCTCGTTCAACGCATCCGCTGGAAAACAAATACACTAACACGGCCGTAACCACAGATACGAAAATGAGAGCACAGACCTTGATACATCACAATACTTCATCTGTCTCTATCAACCACTCTATGTAGTAGCTGAGAAATACCCATCCAAAAGCTGACTGGAAGGTGATACTTGAAGTGACTGATCAATGCTGAACTTACGTCACAAGCAAATTTCTGGAACTCTGGCTTCACCACCAAGCGAATCAGCATTGCTGACCACAAATCCGGAGCCAATTTCACTGCACGTCCTAGGGAATGAAACCCACTCAACACCCTAACCATAATACCATGTTCCTGAAAAAGAGAGTGAATAATAATTCTCATGAACCTTGCTATGTCTGAAACCAGAAAGGACCACTAGGAAACAGAAGTAACAAACCAAGAACTTAAGATGCAGACTATGAAGTGGCCACCAAATTAAACAAGAAAACCACAATCTGTCTGCTCACCAAAGCAAGAAACTGAATTTCGAGAGATATAGAAGAAGTGACAATGATATCCCATGCAACCATTCATAATCAGTAAATCACACCAAACAGAATCACAATTGGTAATTTTTCTAGTAGGATGATATATTTTCTTATAATTAATGAACTAGTAAGATCTACTTTAATTTGTTTTTTATTAGACTGAATATTTGGAGTTCAGTGGTGACGGTTAAATTGCTTCGTCAAGCTAATAGTATCGTGATTGTAAGATCAGAGTACGATGTTAACAATAGTAAAATATACTTTTACGTTGTTTTGATAATAAGCACTGTTGCTCATGATTTGCATAAATAACAAGATGAAATATACCTCATATCCAAATAAACGTCTCGCTCGAAGCTTCTCATCAAGAAGATTATTTAGAAATTCATCTTGATAGAAAACATCAGCTGCTTTAACTATGTCTCTGACAAGGAATACACGGACTCTTGAACCCTTGTCTGACAATATAAATTGGAAAAGGTCTTCTGTTGCAGAGACTACAGCCCGTATATCGAATGATCCCAATGGATCCGAGTAACTCTCCTGAGTTTCTCCTTCTGTTTCAGAAGCCTGCTGAGATATTGCTGCAATCTGCAGGAAGATACACACTTAACAATTCACATACAGGAGTCCTAGACAACCCATCCCCAGCTTTATCAGTCTCTGTGTCAACAGATGCTGAAGTATTTGAAAAGATCAAGCTTCAGGTAGTTTTTCTATTGTTTATCTTACCAAACAAAAAGAACAACAGAAAAGCTGACAACTTCCACCGAGTACTCATCACAACATACTATTAAATAAGATCATATTAAAAGGAAGACCTAGAAAATTCACACAAACTTTTCACATATAATAATTTTTGAATCCAGCAGGAAAAGAGCTAAAACGGCCTTCTTTTCACAAATAGTCGAAGGTTCTTGTTCAGGAAAGAAATAAGCCTCACTTGTGCTACCTGCAAGAAACAAGTATAACAACACAGAGAAAGAATAAATGACTTACCAGTCTCTCTAGACGATTCCATCTAATAGAACCATCATTGCGGATGAGAAGCTCTCTCAATATTCTCCTCATATCAGGAGTTGGATCTACCAAGAGTCTTCCGATAACAAAAGGATATGCACTTTCAACAACTTTGAAATCTGGATCCAATGCTTTTGCAGTTCCTTCAAGAGATCCAAGCGCTCTTATCACCAAAGCATAGTCAGGAGGAAGAGAAAAGTTGAACTCGTACATGACATCATACAATTGATTCATTATGCCCTGAAATCATTTGAAGTGCCACTTAATGCTTGCAAGGTCATGAAGCAAGCTAACAATCATGTCTCATTGAAGAAGATATCCAAGGAGAGTACTGAGGCCTTGTATAGCTGGGAGGAGGCAAGTGACCTTGCAAAAGACGGAACTAGATGGAGAATTATCCCCACTTCAATATGGTGGGCAATCTGGAAAGAAAGGAATTCCAGATGTTTTGAAGGCATAGAAAATAGTGTGCAGGATAATAAACTAAACTGCATTTTGTTGTGACGTTTTTGGTGTAATCAATTATACTCGAAAGACACTGTTTCTATAGTTGATGTTTTAGACTCGATATAGAAATAGAGTATAATAAACTAATTTGTTGTGACGTTTTTGGTGTAATCAATTATACTCGAAAGAGACTGTTTCTATAGTTGATGTTTTAGACTCGATATAGAAATAGAGTAGGAGTGTCTGGAGTGCATTTGTATATAAGGTTTGAGTATAACCCATGTATTTTTGTGATATAATACAAAGTTACCAGTTTAAAAAAAGGAAAAATGTACAAGTACCCCCTCAACCTATGCCCGAAATCCCAGAGACACACTTATACTATACTAAAATCCGATTATCCCCCTGAACTACCCCTTTTCAGACTAAGTGGCACTAGCTTGAAAAAACAGAGTCAAAAATCATTGGGCCCACAAGATAGTGCCACGTAGGTCAAAAAGGGATAAAAAATTATTAATAAACTAAGTTCAGGGGGTAATAATACCTTAGTATAGTATAAGTATGTGTCTGAGATTTCGGGCATAGGTTGAGGGGATATTTGTGCATTATCCCTTTACAAAAATATAAAATGAAAAGAAAAAATAAAATAATCGCAACAGGTCAACCAAATTCTGGAGGAAAAACCATCCTATAGTACAATGATGGGATGTTCATCCCTAGCATATTCCTTAGACAAAGATGTGATTTGAGAAGTTAATCACACAACTCACGAAATCCAATCAAGCAGCTCTAACCAATCCACCTGAGATTGTTTAGGTAGAGCCACTAGAGTACAAAGTAATTACGATCCGCATAGAAAAATGTAACATTTGGTTTATATCTTGTCAACATCAAACATCAATTCCAACCTAGTTGGAGTTAACCACATAAATCCCTCAATATTCATTCCCCTCCATTGGACTCATTTTATTTCAATACGAAGATTCAACAACACTAGAAGTTCTCTTCTATGGGCAATAGCTCCAAACAGACTTTGAAGTGTCTCCGCAAATACCGAGTCTATTGCAAGTGTACTAATACACCTCAGCCTAAACCCAACTGCCTATATGAACTTTTTGCTTCCATTGTGTTCTACATTTACATTAAGTCGGCATTTGATTCTGAGAGATGATAAAGCTTTTTTATACAACTTGTGATTTTAGGTCTAGCTTGTCCACTTTCATCACCTCCAATTATTATGAAGTCATACATACAAACAGACCTTATGGAGGTCTACAAACAACAAGAATATACCATCTTTGCATCCTTCACTGAATTTATCCTGTGTGCGCGAGCTACTTGCACCTTCTGCAAGATGCTATCATTTCTGATGTTAGCATAAGTAGACATCCATTTTAAAGTAACACTTCTAGAAGGTTAATTTCGTGGATGAATGATATTGTTAGTCTTTTAACAACGCTATAGAACCGGGTTTTCACTTTGATGAGGATTCAATCACATCACACATCTGCTGACTCTTCCATTTTCAAACATATCATGTTAATCATATGTCTTACATCACACATCTGCTGACTCTTCCATTTTCAAACATATCATGTTAATCATATGCCTTATGTATCATCTTATTCTCCTATAACATTAAATTGAAATACCTCAATTGTTGTATTTAAGCACCAAAATGTACCATCACTGAAACTCTAATGATATATGATAATCCTTCCAAACAATTGCAAAATTCCTTGACGAACAAATACAAATTACAAGTCATTGGCATGCGATCTTTTATTTTTTTTTGATAACTGGTGTCCGGGCTTGCTTTCGCGCACCTCGACCAATTCCATGGGATACCTGCCACCTTCCTTCCACCAGTCATTGGCAATGTGATCTTTCTTTGTGCTTTCACAAAGGAAGGATTTCATCTCATCTCAACTCAACATTATTCAAGTCTTATGTTTGTCCTATGTCGACTAATCCTAAAGTCCAAACCTCAGGTTGCATCTCCCTCTTAATCTATAGAATGCATCTCCAAAGTTCAAACTTCACTTTGACTCCGACTAGTCTCATCACTAAACATCACACTTTCTACAAAGCGCATATATGATGACCAGGGTAAACAAGAACCGGCTCATTGTAGATCCTTGATATAAACCCACAATTACGGAAAATCTCTCTATATCCCTACACTGTTCTCACACGTCATAGAGACCGTGACCATCATGGGCCGACAAATGATTGTGAGTATGACTGCTTCAATGGCGTATGCTGGTGCTTTCTTAATGGTGTTGAAGAAACAAAGAAATATAGAACCGGAAGTGATAAAAACAAAGAAGAGATAGTGGAACTTGGCCAGATGGAAGGGGCAGTAGTTGTCTCCAGAGGCAGTCACACTGATCAACTCAGTTCAAACTTGGATGACATTCCAACTAACATAATGTCACTGTTTCCTACCTCAGCAGGGATTATCAACAGATTGGACAGAGTCAGAAGGAAGTTCCTATGGCAGGGGAATAAAGAAAGGGAAGGGTATAACCTAGTTGAATGGAAAAAGGTAACTGTGGAAAAGAGATAAGGGGAAGTGGGTATAAAGAACTTGAAAAACCACCACAAGGCCCACAGAATGAAATGGCTCAGGATAACTTGATGAAGAGGGTATAACCTTATGCCCTAGATGTTTACTTTGTGGAGACAAGACAGAAACTGTAAACCACCTCTTCTTGCACGAAAAGTTTACAGGACAATTATGGATTTTTTTTTTAATTTTGAGGGGTATATCTTGGTCTATGCCAGGGAAGGTCACACAGACATTCCAAAGCATGAAGAGATAGGGATACATGCCAAAAGCAAAAGCAAATGGAGAATCATACCAGCCAGCATATGATGGACTATCTGGAGGGAAAGAAATGCTAGGTGTTTTGGGAACATAGAGAATAGTATTAGATCAAACTGAATTATAACTTAAATTCAGTGTTTTTGGTGTGACCAAATTTGGTCTAATGATCCTGTATCTATTATTGATGTTCTGGATTTTCATTATAGACATAGGATCATAGGATTCTGTAAATATGGTTTAGTACAACCCATGTACTACTCTTCTCTTATATAAAAATACAAAATTAAAGGCCATAATCCTAACTAAATTCCAGTAGAATAAATGTATATTTAAGTTGTCTTATACTACTATTTTCCTTATTTAAATCACTAGTTAAGAACTTACCTATTATAGGCTTTAAAGTAACCTGATTGTGAAAAGGAACTTCAACGGTCGGTGGATATTAGGTGAACTCCATGAGTAATACTTATGAGGGAATCTATGTACTATCTTATGGGGACAATATACGGAATAGATATGTAAGTATTAGTAATACATAGATTAAAATAGCTAAAATGACAAAGCCAACCCAGATAAAATTCCATTGTGTTTTAAGTAGTAAACATATTAATACATTATACGCTATTTTTATATACGTCAATGCAAACATCCATCAAGGGATAACCCATTATCACAACCCCTAGATAACTATTCCTGGATAACTTGTCTTTAAGCCAAACATCTCGTAGTGCTGAAGGTACTCTCTTTGTGGCTTTTTTTTCTTTTGGAAGGGGGGGCTATTCAGATCAAAAGAAAATTCCCTAGATTAACTAGATTGCACTGCTTGGTCTTTCTTTATTGCTCTACCATAATACCTATATGTATAAATGGGAGAATGAGCTTTATTGGGAAGCTTTCTCAAACTAGGAAAAAAAATAATAGAAAAAGGAACAGAGAGGGAGCAGGTTAAGAACCTGAAAATCTTGGGATTGTCTGGTTCCATTACCAAAGGACGCTTGCAAAGCTTCTGAAACAGATTGAATGTCTACTCCATCAGGTAGAAATCCCAGAGAAAGAAAGTCATTTGCTAAACCCAGAGAGTCTCGATTAACGAAGTGAACAAGCTGCAGTGCACAGCACTTATCAACTACCAAACATGAATTTATTACGAATACTTGCCAGCTTTTGCTTACAAAATCAATTACGTTAAAAATAGGAAACCCCATGCGTGAAAAATAAATAAGCAAATAAATAAATAATAATTGCAAAGATCCTGGAGTGCAGTCATCTGTTGAAACACTGGACATGTAATAGATCAATAATACTTAGACAATCCATGCAGACATCAAGATATGCAATCAGTGGCGGATCCAGAATTTCTTAGTTATGGGTGCTCAACTATTTGTAATTTGAAGTTGGTACCAAAATGGATGCTCAATTTTACATATTCATACAAATTATATTAGTCTTGTCTCCAAATGTAATGTGTGCTCACGCACCCATGCACTTGAATGTGCATCCGCCACTGTATGCAATGCCCTAAAGAATTGAAGTTTCAATTTTAGAAATTGTTTAAAACACATGCCAACACTATCTTGCTTTTGTAATGCAGTCATCTATACGACTTTGGGATGCGCAATAGGTCAATAAGAACTTCAGACCCCATCCATGTAGACATTAATATGCAATGCCTTAAAGAACCAAAGCTTCAAATTTAAGGACTATCTAGAAGCGCATGCCAACACTGGAATTAAAGATGTGACCTCTTCCTATAGCAGTATTCCATAAACTCAACAATGAAGTTCAAGGATATAACAGAAGCAGAGCATATGAAGATACACAGAATATTTTTAGACTTAGAAATGTAATGCAACTGCCAAAAAAAATAAAAAATCAATCCCAATCAGATCTGAATCATGAATAAGTGTAAAGCTAGAAAATAAAGCCTTTGCTACCAAACCTCATATCTCTACAAAGTAACAATAGGAACAAATAGTTGATAAGACATTTAGTGTAAAATTTTGTAATTCAATGAAGTTCTCACATCGTCCTAAATTTATTCACTTTTAATTATATAATTATAATAATAAGAAATTAGAGCATTCCTTCCCAAATCAAATCAAATTGATGCTCTCGCTTCCTTCTCAAATCATACTCGAAATCTGATGCTGCCTACATCATCTTACAAAAGAGTTTGGACTTTGGAGAGTTATTTTATCTTGTTTAACTCATTCTAAAAGATTAATATGTTTTTTCATTTTTTGTGCTTTTTTCTGGAAATCAAGAAATCAGCGTTTCACAGAGTTAATGCTTTAATTACAAGGTCTTTAGCTCATACACATTAGCTTAGCACTTAGCATGTACTACAGATTCAGATGCCAAGTATCACACCTTCATACTTCATCAGCCTTCTACTAAAAGATTGTGGTGGAGCTCATTTGTGATTGTATGGAGAGCTCTGTGTTTTTACAGAGAGGTTGGTAGATTTTCTGTCTTTTTTGGGCTTAAAATAGGATTTAAGGCACGAAATGGGCAGAGCTTACTTCTTGTCTGAAATGGACAAGTATACTCCTAGTGGAGGCAACAAGGGTTTTGAAGGTATCACTGCTGGAAAAAGACAAAGTTAAGTTGGGGAAGAAAATGATGAAAAAGAACATCACCCCAAAGAAGAGAGAAGATCTAATAAAAAGAGTACCAGTGGATCAGAAAATAACTGTAGCAAACAGGTGTATCGACTGGAAAGAGCAATAAAAGGGGAAATGAAAAGAGGAGGTTTGGTTGCATAGGCAAATGTTGAGAGGATGAATAAAATTAAAATGCTGTAACACCTCTAGATCTTTGATTTATATTTAGAGCCCCAAATCATTTTCTATCACAGCATTCTAGTATAGAAGCTATAGAGCATATAGGAATACGATTGCTTCACTAATATACATCACCTACACTCATGCATCTGAATTTCTTTGTGTGATCCCACCAGTTTCAGCGTACCAAGAACAACAGATTTACACTTTGTTTGGATCATTGTTACCCATTGTTTCATAATATATTGTATTGTATTGTACTCTTTGTACTTTATTGTATGGTAGATACAATGTTTGGCTAGATTGTATTGTTTGTTGTTGTTTAGTAACATTTTAATTGTTTGGTTTGATTGTATTGTACTATATTATAATTTATAAATTTACTTAAATATTCTTAATTATTCTAGGGTAGGAGGTTTGACTAGATTTAAATAATTAAGGTAAAGGGTAAAATAGTATTTTAAAATATTATGTAAAGATATAATTGAAAAAAGAAATTAAGTAACAATGAGAACACACCAAATTGATTGTTCCATAAAATAGGGTTTCCATTGTTACGTAACAACGAAATTTAACAATACAGTACAATACATTTTAAGTAACAATCAAAACAAACATTGTAGGTATAGTAACAATAATATACAATACAATGGATAACAATGATCCAAACATAGTGTTAATTAACTCCTTTTCCTTCCTTTCATTTCAGAAAGAAATCTCACTCAAAGAGGGATGCTCAGACAGAATAGAAATAGAAACAGTTAGAAGAAATATCCAAAGAGTAAATGCACGGCACACTCCAAAAAGAAGTCCTACAATCCAGGTGTCCCGAAGAAAATCCAAGGGATGATTTCATCGGGACTTTGTCTATAATGTATTGCAAGAAAGTGTTTTTTGAAAAAAGGTATAGCAGAAGAAAGAGAACTAAAATACGTAGTAGAAATATTCATTCCAAACAGCTCAAGTTTTCAAAACAGTGGTAACCAAAACCTACACGAGCAACTATAGGTCTCGTCTTGCAGCCCCACGTTAAACAAAAGAAATCACTCACTCTCAAACAATTTAAACTTGGATGAATGAACATTCTACAGGAATTGATGGACCACAACACACAGTGATATGCAACAAAACAGGATCTCAAAGACATTCAGAAAAAACTAAAGAGCAATGTCTGTCAGTAACTGCAAATTATTGATGAAGCTAGTTAATACTACTTGAACTAAAGGTGATGACATAAACCCAAACAAGTAATAAATGATGACCACATGAAATGCATCCAAACTATATCTCAATACTCCAAAACAGCAGTCAGTCAACCATGAATGATGAGAATTTATCACTAGAGCTGACCACTTTAATAAGTCCAACACGATAGTGACGTGGAATGTCTCCCATCATGCCAAAGTCAAAATAGGCAAGAGATCCATCCTCAGTAGCAACTAGGTTCCCAGGATGAGGATCAGCATGGAAAAACCCCACCTCAAGCAACTGCCTCAATGAGCAGTATAACCCCTGATAAAACAAAAGATATTTCACAAAGTTTAAGAACAGCCCAGAAAGGAGCAGATAAACTCTACTAAGGACGACAACTTCCTTTTTATTTTTTATTTTTTGTTTAAGAAAGACAGCTATTTACTTCCTTTTTATTTTTTATTTTTTATTTAAGAAAGACAGCTATTTTTTTTTTTTGAGAAGGCAAAGACAGCTATTTACCTGGTCAACAAGTCTCCTCCTGTTTAAGTTTGCCTTCCTCATTCGACTTTCATCTGTCAATTTAATCCCATCTATCCACTCCATCGTAAGCACCTCCTTACGGGTAAAGTTCCAGTATATTTTAGGGACCTTGATACCAACAGTTTTCTGACACTCGACATTATCAGTTACTGCACTCCCTGGGACAGTTTTCTCTTTATCTGTAAGTAAAAGCTAAGTTAGTGTAAATTGAAATGAACAGGGTTAAGGAAATATTATACTGAGCACTCAAAAAAATTTCACACGCATTAAAGTTCACTTATTTTAAGGTTGCCAAATATTGCTTTAGATCACTAAGCTCTACAACCTAGGGACACATTGTCGGGAAAAGGGAGACGGGAGATGATAGAAAAGGGAAGAACAGAAAATAATGCGAGAGATGAGAGAGAGTACAAGAGTTCATAGAGAGACCATTCACGGAGTCATACTCATGAAGTAGAGTATGTTCAAACAAAGTGCAAAAGAACCCCCAATTACAGTGAGAGAACCAAAGACCAAGCTAGATTCTCAAAACTATTGAAACTGAAGTGACAGAGAAGATAAAAGCATATATAGCAAAATAAAATCTAATAAACAATAATAACCTCAAAGGGCTTAGATTAAACTAAATATTAATAAAAAGAAAAGGCTCATAAATACCCCTCACATATGGAAGAAGGTTCATAATTACCCTCCTTCCACCTTGGTCTAAAAATACCCCAACATATTTTTTGGCTCAGAATACCCCTAACCTACTTGAAATAGCTCAAACCCCCCCCCCCCAAATCCCACCCCAGACATTATACTCTCATGACCCAAATATATTCCATGACATTCAATCTACATTTGTGCTGACTAGTTCCAAAAAATGGAAGGGAAAAAAGATATTCCATAATACCACAACTAATAAAGCAATGCCTGGAAGAAACATACTACTGCATGCATAAAGAGATGCGAATCTTTCGGCATTTTGTGCTTCCAGGATGTAGTCAATTTCTTCGAACATGTGTCTCACCTATCCATTCAAGCAAAACCCCTGGGGTTAGCAAGTATATAATAGACAACTATTTAAAAGAAGTCATATTTACAGAAAATGGGGAAATAAGAGGATAATGAACCAATTAGGAAATGAGACATATGATGAGCTAAAAGCAACTACTAAAATACAACTTTGCCGGCTTTCTTTGATTTAGTCTGTTAACAAAGAATAGGTTAAGAACTAGTGGTCAATTGATAGTGTCATCTTTAGAGTAAACTCGAGATATTTTCCTCTGCCCTGATAGCTATTGGTTGAGTTGTTCAGTTTCTAATCAAGGATTTGATCTATTAACTGTTGCAGCCGTTTCATTCAGCTGTGCCAAGTGCACCTTGTAAATTTGACTATACATGCATTAGCTGAGTCAGAATTCACCTCATAATCATTCCAAAGAACTAGCAATAGACTAGTAATATACTCCTTGAGATAAAGAAAGTCTTGATGTATAACCGATCACATTTGGAATTTGGAATCTCACCATCTCATTGACAGCTACCAACAGATCCTTACGAGCTTTTGCAAATCTTTTTAGTTGGCCACCAATCATGTGAAATAACATAGCGTCCAGTGTCAGTAAATGAGACATATGAGGCCTCTGGACCTTAACAGCCACCAGCTCCCCAGAATGCAAATGAGCTGCAAAACTTGAAGCCAAGAAGAAACATTAAAAGCTTGAATACCATTGTGCAACGCACTCACTCTTCCAAAACCTGTTACGTTCCCCCAGTAGATTTATCTTCAAAACGAATTAACCTACAAAGAGACGCCCAAGAGCCAGAAGTATTATAGGAATGAATGCATCATGACATCGTAATATCACCAGAATGAATTAGTTGGTGCTAGAAATGTTAGAAGAAGTGAATGATATCTTGGATCAACAGAATGACCAATTTTTTTGTCTCGATAACCACTCTTAGGGAAGGTTCCACGTGGGGTTGGATATAGAAGGTTCCTTCCAGAAGATAAGGTAAAAGGTTAGGAAAAGGAAGAAAGTGAGAAGTAATGAAACGCCATAGAGAACTAATCAACGACAAAGGCAGAGAAACACCCAAAAAATTCAAGCTCTAACCTTTATATACTTGGCCGAGAGATGCTGCAGCAATTGGCTCCTTGCTAATGTCAGCAAATACTTGTGAAACGCGAACACCCAACTGGGACTCAATAGATCTTCTTGCAAGATGAGTTGGAAATGGGGGGATTTGATCCTGGCAAGATGAGAAGTACAAATTAAAGGATAAATACATTATGTTGAGAGATCTTATCCAGCTTTCAAAAATACAAAACTTCTTTCCTCCCATTTTAATTAAGAAATAGGGCTGGAAGGTAATTGTAGAATAGAAGGCCACAAGCTGGAGATGCAAATCAGCCATTTTAAGGATTTGAACTTCCTTTTGAATAAAGGTTTGAGGTCCAGGATATCTTTTTGTAATAAAACATTTAAAAGATGAGACATGCTTGGGACAAATCAGCATAAAAGAAATGTAATGGTAGTTGGGATATGACCATAGTAGCAGCACTGAAGTTTTAAGTTTACCTGTAACTTTGCAAGTTCTTGACAATACACTTTTGGTAATATGTCCGGCCTTGTGCTTAAAGCTTGTCCCAGCTGTTATTCAAACAATTGCAGAATTAACCATAAGACCTTTTTCCCTGCTGGAGACAAGTTACAAGCTCCTGTTGGAACCCAGGGCTGATGCACCATGTAAGCAATCTGAAATTACAAGGGCTCTTTGGCCCATTTAACCACATAGAATTGATATCACACATGACTATATGTAGTCAATAAAGAAGAAGCATATCACATCAGCAGAATATTTTTTCGATAATGGTGTTCTATCTATCATATTGATGAAGTGGCATCACTGATCAAATACATTCTCTTGCCATTTCATGGATACATCAAAGAAGACCTCAATTCACCCCCATCCCACCCCCACCCCACCCAAAAAAATCATTTGAGTACATCAGAAAAATAGATGCAAGTGCAAATTTCTAATCCCATCCTAAGCAAAACCAATTTGAGGGCAAGAACAGAAACAATCAACCATCTTTTTTTACATTGCAAATAACTGAACAACTTTGGAGGATTTTCCTCAATTCAAAAGGGATCATGTGAGTGATGCCAAGAGATACACTTGAAGTGCAGGAACAAATATAGCACTCATTCAGAACAGAAAGAGAGATGGAAGATTGTCCCTGCTTGCATTTGGTGGACAGTTTGGAAAGAGAGAAAACAAAGGTGTTTTGAAGAAGATAATAGCTCTACCCAGAGTCTGAAGATGAAGTGCCTAGCCCTTTCCTTTTTTAGGTGTAAACATGCATGTATGGAAGACATAGAATCTTTCTGCTGGCGTACTAGGATCTTTGTAAGTAGGTTATAGGTTAGTGCCTCTTCCTATATTCCCTTTTAAATATGGGCAGGTGCAGATTTTATGCATCAAATAGTTACATCAAAAAAGAAACCTTCTAAAAAATAAAAGCAACGAGTCCCATCTACATATAATATCTTAACCATTCTTTTGCCAACAAGGAAGCAGTAAATGCACTCTTTGTACTATATATACACGTAATTAGTGCCACCTACACCTTCTTCTCAATTCTTGTTTTGCATCATTCCTCTGCCAATAAGTAAGATATAAAAGCATAATTTGCACAAAATACCTAGTAAGGAACAAAGTTTAGTTATTCTCTAAATAAGTATTTCATCTTTGTCCACTCTTCTCCTAACCCACATGTTTGTGAATAGTATTTACAAGGTAAGGCAATTGAACTCTGTGATTGAATGAGTTTCTAAAGTGCTGGCCAGGTTACACGACCGATTTGTAAGACTCTGATTCTTCACCCCAACCCACCCCTCGGTTGATCAGTAAAGCAGGGCAGACAATTTCTTGAGAATAGTATAATTAAATAAAAAAAATACATAAAGTCCAGGCTACACATGTTCCTTGGTTAGAGCAGAATAACTCAATAAACCTCTCCATGTCTACTTAAATTCTTTCATATTTGAATTGATATCAACATTTCCAAAAGGACAGGCAGAAGCTTCTGGTCTACTCCTATGTACAGGTAACCGGAATTCAAAATATATCATCCTGACTTAAAAGAGCATGTAAGAATGAAATTTCCTCCATTAGTTTAGGATGTGGATGCTGCTTGACAATCAAATTCAGTGCGTGAAATTAAATGTACTAATCTATTAGCTATAGAAAGTAAAGAAACCTGCTAAGTTTAAATACGAGCACTTCTGGCGGTCAAAAGCTTTTGCCTAAAAACCAGAGTTTCCTATCTAGTATTATCTATATATAATAGGGAAAATAGATTCTGAATAATATGCCTCTTTGAGGTCTCCGGTTATGCCTGTAACCTGAGCTTAAATATCTTCTATATTGGCGTGTCAATGTATTCCACAATCTGAAATGCAAATTCAGAATGGAACAGAGAAGTGAGCCTGGCCTCTGGGCAGTGGCAGACTTCACCCAACAATTTATGCTCTTTCCATGTAATGATGATGAGGCACGACATCATGTACATTCTCCTACGAAATTAGTTGTAAGCCTATTGAAGCAGTATCCTCACCCCTCGTAAAAACAGCACCAAGAACAGAAGTGGTAATAGACAACATCACAGCAGACATATATGAATACTTCTACAAATAATGATGATGTTCTACACCAACATAAGAAGATAAGATGGTCTTAACAGATAGTATAGCTTGCCTTTATGTAGAAAGGACCCAAGTCGATAAGAGTTTCTCGGAACTGCAAATAAAAGAAGTAAACTCATTGTTAAGGTCTGCGTGGACAACCAATTAATCACTTGAAACTCAGTAATAGATGGAACCATAAACAACAGTAAAGAACAAATAAAACCCAAAACAAGAAAGCCTCTGTCTTACTAAAATCTGAAAACCAATCTAGTGAATTATTTGAAAATACACATTAGATGAAATATGACTTATAAGTGGGGCAAAGTAGGCTATGGGTAGAACCACAAAAATTAATTATCAAACCAAGACAAACCATCCTCATCCAACACAAAGTGCAATGCAACTGACACCGTATTTTTTAACAGCCAAACTCTTTAAGGAGCAGCAATTGAATGATTCGCAGATGTAGAGGTGTCAACAAGCTCAGAACAATTGCAGGAAAGCATATCTTAATACTTAATTCAACAGCAGGTGATTGCTTGACAAAAATGCATTGAAAAGTTCCCATTCAAATCACTATAATAAGTAAATACCTAAATGAAGGTATTCCGAGTAAAATTTAAAATATATAGTATTAAAGAACTACATTCAAATACAGTGTTGCCCATTTTCGCCATCTTTATTTTTCTGTCACATCAATAAGGAAAGGGTGTTTCGAGGCACACTAACTGTTACTTGGGATAAATAAAGTAGTATGGTTAAAGCATGTGAAGTTAGTTCCAGTACTCGCAACAGAAGAAGAAATAGAGGTTTTAGTAGTATGGTTAAAGCATATGAAGTTAGTTCAGGTACTCCCAACAGAAGAAGAATTAGAGGTTTTCCTTTCTCCAACTTTTCCATTTTATCATAGCAAGATGCTAGAAAATACTGAACAAATAATGGAAGTCATTTCACAGCTTTCATGCTCTGAAGCTGAAAAATCCATTTGATACAATCTTGCTTTTCTGTCAAAATGCCTACAGAACACCTACAGTGAAAAATATCTGATCCATTGTATGCAATAGACAGAATAGACAGCACACTGTCATCTGTCAATAGAACACCTACAGTAAAAAATAGCTGATCTATTGTATGCAATAGACCGAATAGACAGCACACTGTCATCTGTCAATAGAACACCTACAGTAAAAAATCAAACCTTTCGGATAGAACTTCATTTGAGAACTGAATATACCTTAACAGCACGTCTTCTTAAGTCATGGACAAATAAGCGCCAGACGGTTAGCTTCAACACATAGAACGAAATAATGGCTGCTCTGTACAAAGCCATGAATGGGCCAAAACGATATAATGATGAAAGGCTTTTCGACTTATAAGTAAGTGCATGACCGAATTCGCTTTCTAGTGATTCCTTCCTCAACCTAGCATACTCAGCGGTTGGCCTTTCTCCATGCACACTGGAAAAACCAGTAGAAAAGCTGCATCAAAAGCGCATTAACTCATTAATTCTTTGGGAATAAAATGTTCCACTACAGAATGTATGCACAAATGCTAGACTACAAGATAAAAATGAGGGTGGTGAAGCCAATAAATTGATCAATAATGCAAAAGAGAAGTACAAGGGCGTTTTGGAAACAATATTGAACTGGTTCAGTAATCAGTCACAAATCAAGAGAGAGAGGAGAACAATATTCATTCACTTACTATTTTGGGGTTGACACAAAATTGCCATGGTTTCCAGCTAAAACAACCTCAGGAAAACTACTGGATGAGTATTCCCACCAAGCAGTCTCAACTGAGCAGCCAAAACGCAGAGCTGAAAAGAAGTCAGGGTGGAAAAATAACCACTTAATTTTTTTATTAGTTGAACATGTTTGAGTGATGACATAATATCAGAAGCTCATTTAAAAGCTATAACTTCATCAGTAATAAGCAGAGGCTGATGACAGACAGCGAGAAAATATGAGGAACGCTAAAAAAGGTGACAGCTACAACAATTAATATTTCACAAGCAAGAGGCTGGTTCTAGGGGAGGGGAGGGGAGGGGATAGAAATCCAATAAAGTGAGTGAATTCAAAAGGGTCCCATATATAATATGTTAACACTTGAAAGTAACAAACTAAAGGGATAATACATAAATATACGCTCAAACTTAACTTCAGCTAGCAAGCAAACGCTCCAACATTAAGAGTGCATATATAGGCACCTTACTACAGATGGTCTCAATTGAAAACCAAACACTCCAACTCGTCACCACTTAATCTCTGGATACAATTTTAGAGGTGTATAGATGATCATTTGGTAAGTTGGAATGTTCAACAAACACAATGGAAATGATTTGAGCTATCTACATGCGCACTCTCAAAGTTTGAGTGCTTACCCACTGAGGCCAAATTTCAGCATCTATTTATGTATTATGCCTAAATTAAACCATGAAGATTAAATTCCACATAGGATTTTCACTCTCTCTTTCTCTAAATAGCAGACAGGGATAGCGAAATTTACATAATCTACATCAGGAATCGGCATTCCTTAATTACAGAAAAACTAACACACACTGTTAAATGGTGTATGCTATTTGCTAGCAATATTGTGTCATTTCACAAAACCAGTGAGAGTACACTCTAACTCTGTAAACTAAAGGTTACAGTGAAGTTTAGGTGAGATTCCAGTGCCTAAATTCAAACAATTCAGATATCTAGGTGTGATTAGCGCTATATAATAAGCAAACAATATTCTGAATGAAGGAACACTTCCATATAAAATAAAATTACGCAGCTAATTCGGTGAAGAAGTACTAATAAAAATGGCAAATTACTTGGGGACAGGACTGCCAGACGCCGTCGGTTAAGGCATGAAATGATACTCCTCATCGGCAATTTTGAGTGTTCGCATAACCTTGCCCAGCGATGTATGTCCTGTGCATATAAGGTGTTTGAGAATATGCCTCTGAAAAACTTAATTCAGGCGTAGTGATGGAAGGTGCCAACGGTGCGGTGCTTCTTTCGCTATTTTTCTTTGCTATTAGCTTAGGGGGCCTAACAATGCGCCACGTTCCACATACGTGGCTCACAGTGAGAGTCAGCAACTGAAAACGTACAAATGGTGCTGCGGAAAAACAATCTCTAAACTACTTATCATAGAACAATTATATCCTATTTTAAATTTATGAAAATGGAATTAGAAAGCATATAGTGTTTTATTACAATTTCATCTTCAAGTTAGAATTTTCTTAATGATCTTTTAAAAGAAGCCTATTTTTTAAAAAAAATAACTAAGCTTTATGATTAAATAAAATTATACATATACAATTAGGTTGAATCAAATCTAACTTATAGTCAATTAGCACTTTGCATCAAGTTCGAGCTAGATCATTATTATTTTTTTTTCTGTATATGTTCTCAATTAGGGACGGACCCATCTTGACCCAAGGGATGTCAAGCGACACTCCTTCGTCGGAAAATTATATTGTAGGTAGAGGTCAAGTTTTAATTTAATAAATATATATACAAGCATTGAAATGCGCCTTGATACAAGTAAAATGTCTAATCTAGTAATTTTAAGGTTTTGCAAAAACTCGGCTTATATTGTAATTATTTTTTTTCTTTTTCGAGTCCAGATTTAAAAATTATATTACACCATTAATTATTATTTTTTTAAAAAAAACCATAAATTTGAGGCATACATATTATAATATTTACATACATTTTAATTTAATAATTAAAAAAAAAGAGTAAATAATGTACCAAATTAAAGCTCACCTTTGACTAAAAATACATAAAATGGAACATAGTAGAGGGCAAGAGGCACACTTTTGATTTGGACTCAATAGAAGCAGAAGAAGGGCATTTGGTAAAAATTGGGAGAATCAGAGATTCACTTCACTTTGGCAAATGGCGAATCAGATTCGTCTTGAAGCAGTACCTCTTCTAGTAGTCGTACTTATTGGTGCCCATGTCCTCGCTTTGGTACTTTCTTGTTCTTTTTCAATTTCTATTTCTGCAGTAATTGTGAACATGGTAGAGGGTATAATGATTGATTCATATGATGAAATTGGTGTAGGTGTACTGGATTTATCGGCTAGCAAATCAGAAGCAACCCATGAGGCTTAAAAAGCAATAGCATTCACTTCGTTTTTTCGGTTTTTGCTCTTTTTTATCCTGTTAAATTTTATGTTTGGGGACATTGAAATGGTTGACAATTTCAGTTGAATAGAGAAATTGGGTTTGTGTATTTTATGTTTTGTGCCCCTTGGTCCCTTTTTAATACAATTTTGCTTTTGTTAATGCTGGATAACTTTAGTTATTCCTTATAAGTTATTGAGAGTTTGGGTTCTTGAAATTCCAAAGGGTAATCTATACCTTTATTGTACTTTCCATTTTTTGATTGTTAAAGGTATTTCATTGAAAAGAAAGTGCTCTTTCTCTCTATATATATATAGGAAAAACTGCTGCAATTGAAAAGAGCCTAAAATTCTGTATCATTTGCAATAGCCATGTTACATACACACACAAACAAAAAAGTGAAGATTTATTTGCAATAGCCTGGCACAGGCTGGCACTCAATGCTCAAGCACCCATTCATTCTGGACCAAAAGCTATTATTTGTATTGAGAAACTGGTTATGCTTACAATTTTTTTGTCTAACATGCTGCCTGAGAAACCAGCCGACTGAAGCATTCCAACTTTTAAAGGTGCTTTGTTTCCCCGGATACACTTCATGGCCAAAAGGAGATGCTGTCAGGTAAGTCACTTTGATGTTTATAATGTGCGCCGACTGTGAATTTCCCTTTTGCATCACCCTTCCACATAAGAGAAGATGGTCTGGAAGATGAAGGGTGCTGTTATGAGTTTCCTATTCTCTCTTTTGCTTGAGAATGAACTTTGGTGGGGTTCTGTTCAGTTTCTTTTTATGTTTGTTTCATTTAATTTTGACATATTTAAATTGTGCTCTATATTTAACATTGAATTTATGTTCTTGAAAGTCGAATTGGGAAATATACAATTAAGTCAGGATATGAATATGTGCTTCATAGAGTTGCTTTAGCATATCTGCATGAAAGGCCAAATTATGACCTGTTCCGTTGAACCTCTTCCTCTTCCCCTTGAGTAAAAGCAAAATACATTGTACATAAAAGGCTAAATATGTAGATAACCCGTTAAACATGACATGTTTTGTGAGATAACCTTACAAACTTATAGAGTAACCAAGTTAGACACTTCTACATGACAAAAACGTACCTTCTAAACACATAGTCAGAAAAACTGAGCACATGAAAATCATATGCTGATGATGTATCAAATGTCAAATGAAATAACAATATGTGTCAAAATTGAAGAATTTTTTTTAAAAATAAAAACAGGCCCACCCCCACGAGACTACACCTCAACTGATTAAGTATAAGTGTCTAACTGGTCACTCTATAAGTTTTTGATGAAATCTTACAAATTGTGCCAAGTTTAAGGGGCTCTCTAGGTATTTAGCATTATTCAAAAAAATTTAGTTCACAGGTTTAACCGTGGGTGACGGAGACCCGATGGTGTGAGCGTTGACCTTCTTGTTCCTTTATTTATTGGGGAAGAAGAAAGTGGGGAAAATGGACCGCTTGGTGTTTGGCCTTGTTCATCTGATTCTGGAAAATTCTTTTCCAAATATGGCATCATTTAGGGAAATTTTGTGTCTGTTAGATCAGATTTCTATCTTTTTTTTATGATCGTTGTGTACAGGCCAATTTTCACATATCTTTATTAATTTCACGGAATATCTGTCACCTCCCACCACCAACAAGTGCACAACAAGTACCAAGTAACTCTATTCACCAAGACTAGGATAGATGGGAAGTATCACCTAGTGTATTTTTTTGTCTCCGCTATATTTTGAACTGAGATCTCAGGGTTCTCAACCACTAGGGCAAAACCATGGGTCAGATTTCTCATCATTTCTTGTTATCTTTTTCTGCAAGCTGGTCAAATGGCATTAATTGGTTTGCATGACAACACCTAAAGCGAAATCAACTTCTTCTGCTGCTTTTCAATTTTAATTTCTATGGCAAGCAATGTGTCTATTACTGCTAAAATGTAATTGTCACTAGTAATTGCCTCTAAAAACCATATTTAGTGGCAACTAAACTATTGTCATTAATTAATTGCCGCTAAAGATCATTTTTGGTGTAGTGTTAGGAGTAAATTGGCTACTGAACTTTTGTACTTATGTGTTCGGTCAATCTTCTAAGTCGTATATTCATTTTGGTTGATCACTGTAACTGGAAACCAACATCCTAGCCCAACTTCAGTCGCAACGCCTGAAGATATCCATACTTTATACACTAAGATGCTTGAGAGGCTGGACTTTGTTGAAATCATTTTTTCTCCTTTCTTGAATTTCCTAAGTGTCTCTCCCATCTCTGAGTAGGACTCTGTACAAAACTGAGGCTCAACTTTGAGCTAGCACTTCTTAGTTCCCATTATGCCAAGCAACGGGCAGATTAACAAAAAATGCATGAGGAACCTTGTTGAGTTTCAAATTTTAATGCACCTAGTAGAAGTGCCATTGCAAGGTTCGTGCTTCTTGGTTATAGAATCAATGTAAGCCTAAAAGAGTTCTATTACTAACAAAATTCTTTTTAAATATACTAATAATGTATAATGATACATCATATGCAGCAGTGAGTTTTAATGTAATAAATTTATTCTTTGCCAAACCGAAGTGTATATTTCACTCACTTCCTTGCTACTCTTTCAAAATAACTTTTATTCTCCTAGAGAAAAATAATTTACCACCTAATGTAAGGAACAAATAACTTATAACATAATGACAAAAAGAGAAGCTTAGCCTACTAAATTACTTTAAAGTACTTGAGAGTGTAATTATGTTGCATTAAAACGTCAGGTTAAGCAACATGCAATGTTAGAAAACACATGTGAAAAAAGAAAAAAAAGTTTTGGTTGAGTCGAGCATATTATCATATACCTTGGGTGCGTTGGCATTTACGCTTTCCATCTACTACACAAAACCTTCAACTACGTGGAAGAGAACTCAAAAGCATTTGCATTGATCTTTACTGTTTTGTTACTTTGAATCTGGAAAAGGCTTCTTCGAGGAGCAAAAGAAAGGTATTGCTTACTTTCTGCTGGTTGTTTTAATTTTCCAGTTTTGGTTAGATTTTTGCTATAGCGAGGACTTATGCATTTAATGATAAACTGGTGAGTGTTTCCTGCTTTATTAGATATTCATTTTATTTACTGTGTCATCGCTAACTCTAGAAGTTATGGAATTTCTTATGGCTATTCTAGAATTACTTGTGCCTTTTTCCATTTTCTGAACTAATTCTTCTTATGTATGTTCTTGAATATTGGTTGTAAATTTTTAAAATTATGTCCAGGTTGCTACTCAAATGGAAAAAGAAAATTAATTTAATAAAGGCTATTGTAGTTATTGTCGAGCCTTTGGGTCAAGTATTCTGCATATGCATATACTTCATTACAACTATTACATGACTTGAGACTTTTAGCTTTCTCATGAAGATAATGTTGGGATTTTCCATACAATATTTTGGATAGCTTGGTTATTGATGCAAAATTTGCAAAATGACGCATTGATTGCTTTTACCAATTTGTAGTTTTATTATAAGGGATGAGGTTATGTAGGAATATAATTTGTTTCTACGTCTAAATGTATTTGTGATTTGAGGTACACTGCGTCCTCTTTATTTTGCAACTATTTCTTACTCTGTAGTCTTGTCACACACTCACACAGGATAAGCTCGCCACCCACCTGCTGGCCAGGTGAAGTGAAATTATCTTTCGGTCAACTATCGACCCAGTTAAGTGCACAAAACACGGTAGAATCATGCAATGCACGCTGCTGGTGTGCTTCTTGCTAGCGAGGAAAGGCATAAAGGAGACAGGGTTCATTTCAAGATCTGTGTGAGACTTAGAAAAAAGATTATTTGTTCAGTTTGTAATTACTGCTTGAGTGGGTTGGTTACTGTCTCTATTGTGGAAGTCATTTGCAGGTCCAATGTATGAATAAAGAACTAACCTTAATGGAGAGAGAGAGAGAGCGAGAGAGAGAGAAAACGGGTAAGTTTTCTGCACTTAGGATTTCGTTTGCAGCTACATTATGAAAAAGAAGTTGTATTGAAAAGAAAATGACGCTGCTCCTTTCAAATTCCTTAACTTTTAGAGAAGAAACCTATCTCTTTTTTGGTCAATTTTATGGTTCTTTAGTTTGTTCAATTTGCCTTTGAAGATCCAAGGTACAATTTTCTTGTAGATATATGAAATGGTTCTACAAAATTATGCTATAAAATGTCAATGCTCCTTTGTTGGATTTGACAATGAGCTAACCCTCTGTTCATTTTACTTTTGGTTTCTATAATTAATTATTTTTTTTGTTTACTTTGTTTGCATATTTGGAAATGTATGTATTTCAATGTGAACACTGAATGTTTTCCTAAATATATACTTCCAAGAATATCCATAAAGAGAATTTATGTATATAATTTGTAATTGTAATGTCATCTTTAATGATTCTGTGACATTTTGTTTTCAGAGATATTGCTGAATTCATCATCGTTAGTAAAAAAGGTGGAGACTGATTTATTTTTTTGTACTTTGATTTTGCATCTGTTCCTTCCACTCAGGTACTATGTGATTGCAGTGATTCATGAAATATTGATTATTTTCCTTAGTAATCACCCATGTACGGTGTTTTACATCTAATTTTTGACGTCTTAAGCAGCCTATCATGCTGATGTATATCAATTTTCCTATTATATGGTGTACTTCTGCCATGTTGGTTTTATTGTTCTAGAAACATGCAAAAGATACTTTGACATTCTATTCTGTATTTCAAGTTGAATTTGCAAATTTTCTGGTTTTTGCTTCTTTTCACTTGTTTTTGTTCTACTAACTGCAACTCTATTGTAAAAGGGGGAAAATCGAGTGACATCTTCTTGTCCCATTTTCTCATCTCTTGCTAGGGAATTACCCTTGTGGTTTAGGAGAATTGAAGGTGCTTCTACTAATCTAATGCAAACTTGCTGCAAAATCCTCCCTGTGTTGTTTGAATATATTCTGGTCTTGGTATCTCCTTGTTACATGTTCCTATGCAGATCCTTTAAATCACAACTGCTCCTTCAATTTGTTGTTGTTTTTAATTGTTCAATTTGCTATGTATTGGTGTGTGATGAGTTGGTTGCTTTAGTACTTGGGCTGATTGTCTTTTTTTTTAATATATATATAGTAAAGGAGATATTATATTATGTGTTTTTTTTAACTATGGAAATTTTATTACAAAAGTGAGAACTCTTAAGTAACAAAAAATTAACAGTCGCTGGACATAGTCCCAGTTCTGAGTGAGCATCCTTGCTCCTTTACTACCGATCTAGCTCTAGCAATGATAGAAATCAAGCTTGGACAAAACTCTAGACAATTTAGGCTTCTTGGAAACATATTAGTATGTATCTTGGATTATCAATCTCACGATTGTAGACAACGTTTGTTTCTTTTCTTGAAATATGACTTGGTTCAGAATTTTCTCCATTCTTGAATTGTGACAGCATCATTTCCAAATGCTTAATGTCCAGTGGATTTGTATTCCCCCTGCCACCCCTTTTTGGTCTTGTTTCTTTTCATTCTTTGTTATTTCTCCTCCTTCTGTGTAGTTGCTGATAGAGTTACACTAGGAGAGATTTATTAAAATGGTGATAACCTCACTTCTAAAGGAGGAGATTTTGTGTTGGGGTTCTTAGTCCTGCAGGTACTAGTAAAAGGTTTCTTAGTATATGGTATGTTGATGTACTAGGGGTATCACAGAATAGGTATTAGAACAATTACTAGATGACTTTTATTTTCCAGTATGATTAAATGGTATCATCATTAAAAAAATAATACAAAGACTATTAAGTTGAATTCTCATTGTACCAAAAATCACTGTATCAATCAAAATTTCATTGACCTTTTCATTTGAGCTACAATCAAATCCAAGTACTCCGTCTACCTAAAAACTCATGTAATTACCTTTCAGTAAATTTACAGTTACAGTATTGACATTCAGAGAACAAAAACAAGAAAAGGCCAGACCCAAAAACAAAGCTCTGTTATGTGTGACTTCTATGGAAGGGGTCCGATCGCATCATGTTTACTAGCAGCATTAGCTTGTATTTCTGCAACAAACAATTAATGGAACCGTTGTAACCAAGCTTCTCGCTCCCAAAAGACATAACTTTAACTTGGTTGCACCGCTAGACTATATGCTTTGTGAGATGTTGAAGATGACACTAGGAGAAAGTCATTTTAGGAGAAATAAAAACCACTAGTAAAAATTAATTAGAAGAACTACAATCATATGATATTTTAGAAATATAGAGAGGACAGTGGAAGAGAAGATTTTTGGATAAAAATTCTTTACAAATCATTGGCGAAAAAACTACTAGAAACTCATATCTTGATATTGAAGAGAAAAGATGCAGAAAGAGAACCTAGCTTTGTTGAATGTTAGATTATTTTCTTTCAAAAAATAAAATGATTGTGGTTGAAGTATTACAAGCGCTTCTGTTTATCTCTAAAACAAGTGGAACACAGACCATCAACTCTATAGTACTAATACGTCTTTCTTGTTTTGTTTTTTTTTTTCATATTCAAGGTAATATATACTTACTATTGGTAGTTAATATTAAAGCTAATGAATGATGAGTGCTGGCTTATTTTAAGTATTGGATTACGAGCGACACAAAAATAAGAAAAAAATGAGGAAGGAATTGGACTTGTTGAAGAAGCATGTATACAACAAATCATCTATAAACAAACGATCATCTAATGAAGACAACCAAGCTTATGAGGATGAAAGTGATTCTGACCCTGATGGTTGGTAGTAGTATTGAGGTTTCAAATTTGAAATATTTTGTTTTGGACCATTTTAAGAATCATACATTATTTATGTGGATGTTATGAATTATGTTTTTTTTGTTAGTTGTAATTACATTAGTCTTTGACAAATATTGGGGATTTGAAATAGATATTTGGCTAATTATTAAATGTGTCTAGTGATTTACACGGGAAATATTACTTGAGGATTTTCATGAGGATAAATGCTAAATATTTCTTGCAAACATTTTTTTCTTGCGGATTTACTTGGGGTATTTCGTAGGAATTTCCCAGTAAAATGTCGCAATAAATTTTCTTGTTTAAATTAGGATTTTTCACCTCCAATATTCCTTCAGATTTACTTGAAGATCTTCATTGGGGATTACTTGCGAATTTTTTCCATCATAAGCCGTAGGCGAGTTCCTTTTAATAAAGTTTTTTACCAAATAATTCTAGAAAAATTTTGATTATTAATTGCAAATAAGTTATCTGTGGATTTATTCCGCAACCAAATTATCTAGGGATATTTTAAATCTACATGTACAGTTACCTACAAAGGTTTTTCTATCGGATTCATTTTGCAAGAAAGATCCACAATTTACCTGGGGATTGGACCGCATTATCACTATGGAAATCCCCAGTTAATCAACACTTCTCTTGTGGTGAATTTTTTATTTTTCTCTACCCCTTTAATTAGCCTTATTAGATTCATTTTTCTTTTTTTTTTTAGATTTCTTGACTTTTAGCCGAGGGGTGAAGAAATCCATGTAGAAATTTCAGGTAGAGAAATCAAGGACTGTATTGATATGTGATCAATTATTGATGAATTGATATTTGATTAATATTGTTGTATTGATAATTAATAATGTTAATTACATACTCCTTATATAGGAGAGAATTGTAGAGTCCCAAGTTAGTTATACTTAGAGTCCTACTACAATACTTATTACTAATATAATGATAATAATAATTAAATCCTAATTATGCTATAATTCTAATAGTAATCTAACCCTAGTCATAATATAATTCTAATCATAATTTAATTATAGTCAAAATATAATCCTAATTAACATAGGTAATATAATCCTAATGTGACTCGAACTCTTCAGAAGTGTTGTAACTCTTCATTGACTTCGTTGGACATGTTCCTTCGACATGTTCCAATCCTCAACTTCCTTCTTCATCAAGACTTGTTGTAGACAAGTCAGTCAACTGCGTTGAACATGTTCCTTTGACATGTTCCAATCGTTAGTTTCCTTTTTCCTCAACGTTTTCCGTCAAGCTAGTGAGTAGAGGATGGTTACTCCTTGCTTGCTTTAAATATCCAGCAAAAAAAGAACTTTGAAGACCCAGCAAAAACTTGTTTTGTTAATGCTTCGGTATGTTAATGTTGTTGATTCCTCTTCCCCTGCCTTTTTGGACAGATAACACCATGATATGGTTTTGTTATGACATTTGTTTTTCTCTTTCCTTATATCAAAGCCTGTGAGAAGATCAAATTGATCAAGAGTGGAAATTATGTTATACATAATCTTTTAGCAAAATTAATTGCTTTTGTTGCTTGAATATGAACTTTTTTTTAAACATTCTCACATCTCTCTGTTGAGCAGCCCAAAATTAGTTGTGTGCTTTCTTCGATCAAGGTGCTTGAGATCCAACTCCTTAGTAGCACATCTTTCTCCTTCCAATCATCAATGGTGCCACTATCTTTTGCATTCTTCTTAGCCGCTACAACTTCTCTAGCAGTCTGTCCAGTGGAACAACTACTTTTAATTGATTCATTCTTTGTGATATGAATCAATTGGATGTGTGTCTTATTTATGAGGTATATTATTGGCTTAAGTTTAATGAAGCAAGCGACAATTATTTGGTGAAGTGAGGAAGTTGACATGGTTTTTGATAGAAGTGGTCATAGCAATATGTGGGGGAGTTTTCCATTTTTTTTACGATTAATACTCAGTGAGCGGAAAAACATTCAGCTTTGATACCATGAAAAATTCATGTAGAAATATCATCTAGAGAAATTAAGGATTGTATTGATATATTGATATGTGATCAATTATTAATGAATTGATATTTGATTAATATTGTTGTATTGATAATTAATAAATTTTAATTACATACTCCTTATATAGGAAAGAATTGTAGAGTTCTAAGTTAATTATACTTTATATAGTTGTGAGCGATTAGAGCAAGAGTTCTTTGATCGTTTCTATAGCATAAGACGTGTCGTTAGTATGATGAACTTACAAAGGCTCGTCAAGGTAAAAATGATTCAATTGTTGACTTTATAAATCGTTGGAGAAGTCTAAGCCTCAACTGCAAAGATTGCCTTAGTGAAATTTCTAACATTGAAATATGCATCCAAGGTATAATTGGGGTATTCACTACATTTTGCAAGGATTAAAAAAAGATCAACAATCTTCTAGCTTAGGCTCTGATACCATGTGAAATTAGGTCTTAGACCTAACTCACACCCCAAAGTCTAGCTCTAAGGGAGGAAGATTGTCCAAGGCTTATAAGGAGTCCACCTATCTCATTGAAAATATACTTACACTTTTCATAAAATATTTTTCTTTCTTGACCCTACAAGTTGTTGTACAATTTATTTAGATTACTTTTTCTTTTATATTCCTTCATCAATAGTATAGTTAGACTTAAATGAGAGTTTTGGTAGCAGGATAGAGACGTATACAATTTAAAGTAAATCATCTCTTTAATTATATGTAAAAGAAGAAAGTAGTCAATTGTGAATGATAAGAGTAAGTAATACTATCATTTTAACTTTTTATCGGTGTATTAGCTATCTATGTATTATTTATTCCATCTTCTACTTTGCATAAATAATGTACGAATTTCCTCATAACTTATATATGTTCAGAATTGTCAATCAAACCGCGTATTAACTTTATACGTGAATATCTTTTTTCTTATCCATATTTGGAATGTCGTATTAATTATATCAATGAATGAATTTTTTCTTATCTACCTACCAAACGTCATATAAATTATATACATGAATAATTTTTTTCTTATCCACCTATCAAACGGTATACAAATTCTAATACATGGATAAAACTTGCTTTATATAGCTACCAAACAACCCCCATTGGTGAGCTACCAAATTAAATTTCATTGGTGATTTGAAACATTCATTACCCCTTGACTTTACCAAGCTACCAA